CCCAGTCAGACTGACACCTGCTGCAGACACTCTTGGACGCTCAGACTGGGGGCACAATGTCGCCTGTCCACCCGTGTTTTCTGCCCTCCTCGCCCCTGTTGTCCTCGGTCTGCTTCTAGGCAACCATGGAAACGGGCTGAGCCTCCTCCAGGCAGGCTGTCTTTGTTGGGGTTTTGTGTTCTCAGTTGGGTAAGCTTTCCTTCTACCCACCCGCCCTCCACAAGGCGGGGTGACAGCTCTCACCAGGGAGCGGTCACACTTGACCCGTGTGCATCTGACAGCTGGGCTGGAGGAGGAGGGTGTGGTGGGGCCTCTCTTCTGCAGGCTGCCTGCCCTTTCCTCCACCAAGAGCCTTCTGAGCTGTGACCAGAAGCGATGCTGTTGTTTGAGACACTGTCACTCTGTAAATCAGGCTAGCCTCAATCTGTACACCGAACTAGTTTCCATTGTCCCCTGCCTCTCCTGTGTGCTGAGATTAAAAGCATGTGGCACCTCGGGGCAGTGGTGGCGCACACCTTTAGTCCCAGCACTCAGGAGGCAGAGGCAGGCGGATGTCTGAGTTCAAGGTCTACAGAACAAATTCCAGGTCACACTGGGCTACACAGGGAAACAAAAACAAAAACAAAATAAACAAGCACAAAACACAAAAGCATGCACCACCACACTCGACCAATGTGGAGTTTATTTCCACCAGATATATAAGGAATCAAGGCACGTGTCGCATACATATTAAAATTATTTATTTATATTTTGTGTGTGAGTGTTCTGTGCCCTTGGAGGACAATGGATGACGTCAGAACCACAGAGGCTGGAGTTACAGGTGGTTGTGAGCCCTGAGTGCTGGAAACCAAATTCTGACCTTCTGAGAGCAGCCAGGGTTCTTAACTACTATTTTGAATATAAAATAATCTTATATTTGCCAGGCAGTGATGGTGCGTGTCTTTAACACAAGCACCATCACTGGCGGATCTCTGTGAGTTCGACGTCAGCCTGGGCTACAGAGAGAGTTCCAAGACAGACAAGGCTACACAGAGAAATCCTGTCTTAAACATATATATATCTTACTGCTCACTTGGAACTCTTTCTGGAAGTTTCCAGGGTTTGTCCTGTGTTCCACGAGACCCTAGAGTTGTGTGTGGTTGCCAGGCCTACACGGTGTTTATACACATTTCCAGCCTCTGCGGTGTGCGCGGCAGGGGACTGCCTCTTTGCACCCAGCACATGCAGGCCTAGGCTTCCCTGCTAAAAACCGGTAATGGTTCCAGGGAGCCGGGCTCCATGAATAAAACAGGAGGCCTGCAGTCCGCTGTCCTCTCCCGCAGAGAATGCATAATCAGGCCGCAGGCCAGGAGATGGATGAGGCCGCTCAGAGGCGCTCCAGCAGCAATCAATGATCCATTGCTCATCGGCTAATTGCTGGGGTGCATCAGACTGCAATGACCCCCTCGTGATAGGCATTACATACCTGTTGGCCCCGGGAGGCCTCTCGAGACTCTCCGGGTCCCTTCTGTCCTGTCACCCAGCAGAGGCCTGGGCCAACCCTGGCTTGGGGCAGAGATCTGATGTCTGGGCTGTGACGTTGATGACCAGCCCACTGCCTGGCTGGGGGCCTGGGGGAGCCCTAGCCACCCATCTGGATCCCCTCCAGTCCCCAGGTGTGTGTACCGCTGTCATGGTGGGACCTGGCGGGAGGGCGCTGCTGGCCTTGGCAGGGGCTGCCGTCTCCCTGCCATGTGTCCTCGTAACAGACACTGACGGATGTGTGCCACCATGCACCTTACTCTTATTTGATTTGGTGTACACGCGGAGGTCAGAGGACAGCTTCTGCGGCATGGGTCCTGGACAGAACCCAGGTTGCTGGGCTTGGGGCCCTGTGCCTTCGGCCACTGAGCATCTCATTTTCTTCCAGCCTGTCTCCGGCCTGCTTCCTTTCACCCATTCTTCACATTTTATTTTCCTATTCTTTTGTCTTCACAGTGTCCTTGAGTTCCCTTTGTAACCAAGGGTGATCTTGAACTCGGGATTCTTCTGTCTCCACCTCCGAGTGCTAGGGATGCTGGCCTGTCCCGGTCATAGGACTTATAACTGTGGGGTTCCTCTGGTGGGGCTGGCCAGGCGGGAAGGAAGAGGCTTCCACCGCCCTGGGAGTTCTGCAAGCTTTTCTCACCACACCAGGGAACCTCTCCCCCTCCCCACAACAGAGTGGGGCTCAAACCTGTCATTTGCTGGGAAGTAGGAATGGAAACGTTTCCAAATGAAGCTGGGGTCAGCCTAGGGGACAGACAGGACTGCCTGCATTGGGGTGCAATATTTTATCATGGCTCAGAAGAGTGTGGGACTTACCTAACAGGTCCCAGACTGTCACCCAGGCCTGCTTACTTGCAGGGGCCAGAAGGATGGGGTGGGGTGAAGAGGGAAGGTTTTGCATGCCTTTGTTTGGACAGTGAAGCGGTTTTATTTTCTCAGATGTATGTATTTTTTAAATGTATGTATGTATGCAAGTCTGTCTGTCTGTGCACTATGGACACACCTGGGGTCTTTGGAGGCCAGAGAAGGCATCGGGACCCATGCAACTGGAGTTCAGACTGTTGTGAGCCACTCTGTGGGTGCTGCGAAATGAACCCTGGTCTTCAGGAAGAACAACAAATGTTCTTGTTTGTTTTGTTTCTCTCTGTGTCCTGGCTGTCCTGGAACTCACTCTGTAGACCAGGCTGGCCTCGAACTCACAGAGATCCACCTGCCTCTGCCTCCCGAGTGCTGGAAATACAGACATGCGCCACCGTGCCTGGAGACCTGATGGTTTCTCTATATTTGTTTAAACTAAAAATTAAAGTCCTCAAACCGGGCGTTGGTGGCGCACACCTTTAATCCTTACTCTCGGGAGGCAGAGGCAGGTGGACCTCTGTGAGTTCGAGGCCAGCCTGGTCTACAGAGTGAGTTCCAGGAAAGTCAGGATTACACGGAAAGCTGTTCCAAAAAAGAAAAACAAACAAACAAGCAAAAGCCACGTGAAAACAGCAGAGCAAAAGGGGGCAGGGCAGAAAGCTAGAGCGGTGTTTACTAAACCTTACAGCTGTGCTGTACTTAAAAAAGAGAAAAGCATCCTGCCCAGGATCTTAGATTTGGGGAAACAGGATATGGAGAAAGGTGCAGCCAACATGCTGAGCTCCTTAGGGGGAAGATCCCAAACCCCGTATGTTGGGGGGTCACACACCAGGGGAGCAGAGGTGGGAGGGGCCGCCCAGCATATGCCATCTTTGCTGGCACCATTTTAGGGAAATTTAGCTCCTTCTCTCAACCCAGAGTCCTGCTGAGACCTTGCCTGCCTCTCCAGCTCAGGGAGTGGGGCACAAGCCCCTCACGGGGGACTCTAGGCGGGGCTGCCCCCTGACCACGCCCCACATCCTCACGGGGGGGGGGACTGTAGGCGGGGCTGCACCCTGACCACGCCCCACATCCTCACGGGGGGGTGGAGACTGTAGGCAGGGCTGCACCCTGACCACGCCCCACCTCCTCACTGGGGATTCTTAGGTGGACTAGTTCAAGATCATCCTGGGCAACATAGTGGAAGGCTGTCTCAAAATCAAGAGTGGAAGAGGCTTGGTGCTGTTGCTTTTCAACACTGAACAAGGTTTTCACTTAAAAAAAAAAAAGCACCACAAAAAACAGAAAATAGAAAAACTGTGCTATCTAGTGTATTTTCTTGTAGAATGCAATTGGGATTTGGGGTGACTGAGAATTTCGTGTTTTCCAAACTGATGCTGTCGTGGAAAGTCACTTGGAGCTTTTGGGGAAGACAGAAGAGGCGAGGCCTGGCTGGAGGTGGAGGGTGCCTGGAGGGAACTTCCAACACACAGGGACCGCGGGAGCTGGTGCGGTAGGGGACCTTGAAGGAAACACAGGGACAGTAGATGGGGACGTCTCAGGGAAGAACAAGGCAGCAGGAAAAAATGAAAAACAAATCCTAGCCGGAGAGGGTTTTTGTGTTTTTTTGAAATGTAAATGACACTCCCAGAATTGCCTAATAGTTAAAATGAAAGACTTAAAAAAAATAAATCAAAGGGAAAGGGGTGGGAGCTGGAGGGGCCTAACCCTTGACTGTGCTGTTGTCTCTGAGGAGCTGCTGGGGCTGGGGGCCTGACAGGGCTGTACTCCATCAGACCGCACTTCCAGAACCAGAGGGAGACTTGGTGGCCAGGGTCATTTTCTGAGTGTCCCTCTCGTGCCCAACGCTGGGTCCCCGTCTGGTCCTCCTGCAGTCGCGCGCGTGCGCGCGCGCACACACACACACAGACACACACACACACACACACACACACACCGGGGGGGGGGGGGCTTGGCTCATGCGGGGTGTTTCAACAGGCCTTTGTTAGAATCACGGCCAAGCTGGGATCTGCCTCAGCTAGCACAGGTGCATTGCAAACACGCAGTAGGATTGGTGAGATGAGGGTATTGCCTTTATTGCTGTCTACATGTATAATTCCTTTTCTTGTTTTGGTTTTTCCGAGACAGGGTTTCTCTGTGGCTTTGGTGGTGTCCTGGAACTCGCTCTGTAGACCAGGCTGGCCTTGAACTCACAGAGATCCACCTGCCCCTGCCGCCTGAGTGCTGGGATTTGTTTTCCTGTGGGACAGAGTAGTGTGCTGGGTTAAAGGAGTGTGCTGTGACTGCCCACCGACATTCTTCCTCCAATCGCTGGTCCTCAAATGTGGCTGACCCTCTATCTACTGAGCCATCTTGCCAGTCCTGAATGCGACTGTATTTTGAAATATTTCTGTCTTGGTCAGGGTTCTTTTTTTTTGTTTGTTTTGTTTTTTGTTTTTTGAGACAGGGTTTCTCTGTGGCTTTGGAGACTGTCCTGGAACTAGCTCTTGTAGACCAGGCTGGCCTCGAACTCACAGAGATCCACCTGCCTCTGCCTCCCAAGTGCTGGGATTAAAGGCGTGTGCCACCTACACCCGGCTCCATAACAGAATTTATAGAATGAATTTGTCTACATATATAGAAAAGAGATTTATTAGAGTAACTTAGAGGCTGCGGTCCAGCTAATCCAACAATGGCTGGTTACGAATGGAAGGCCCAAGGATCCAGCATTTGCTCAGTCCAGGGGGCTGGATGTCTCAGTTGATCTTCAGGACATGCAGGACTCCAGAGACGACGCAGGCTCCAAAGCCAGCGGAGGAATGTGTAAGCAAGGTCAGGCCAATCAGGCTCTTTCTTCTCCACATCCCTGTACAGGCTTCCAGCAGAAAGCATGGTCCAGAGAGCCGGGCGGTGCTGGGCACGCCTTTAATCCCAGCACTCTTGGAGGCAGAGGCAGGCGGATCTCTGTGAGTTTGACGCCAGCCTGGGCTACAGAGTGAGTTCCAGGACATCCAGAGCTACACAGAGAAACCTTGTCCTGAAAAACAACAACAACAGAAGATCTGGATTAAAGGTATGTCTTCCTACCTCCAAAATCTGAATTAGAAGGGGATCTTACCACTTCAAATTACCCAAAAACAAACAAACAAAAAAATCCCTCACAGGTGTGCGCCTCAATTTTGGATTTTAGATAATTCCAGATGTAGTCAAATGGACAACCAAAAACAGTCCCCATGACTTTGTAGAGATAATTATTTAGAGTGTAGCACCCTCACTTCATAGATTAGTGACATCACACAGTTGGTCACCCGCCAAGTGATGCCTGGAGCCCGCAGATCCAAGGATCAGCAAACCCTTCCTCAGGTCCTGGGGCCTGCACCCCAGAGTGCACCGTCTGATCAATTTCTTGGTATTTGGGACAATGAGAGAGTCAGTTTCTCTCTGTGACTTGTCACTATGTCATTTCCAGGACAGTGTCAATGACCTCTGCTTGAGCTGAAACTTGGGTGGGGCACCAAAGTTGAGGTGCCCTTAAACATGTCCTTGGGGTAGGACAGTGGTGGCAGTGGTGGCACACGCCTTTAGTCCCAGCACTCGGTATGCAGAGACAGGCGGATCTCTGTAAGTTCCAGGACAGGCCCCAAAGCCATAGAGAGAAACCCTGTATCGGGGAAAAAAAAGGTCTTGGAGATATAATAAATCATTGACTGGCATCACTATGTTCTAAGTCACATGAGGAATGACATGCATGTTGAACCCCACAGTTGGTTCGCACACTGGATTGCTCAGTGGTCTTCAAATGCCGGGTGAACAGAGGCTAAACATCTTATGTGACCCTTCAGGACATGATGGAGGGAAGGGCAGGAGGATGGCTGAGACAGGCTGGGAGCATAAGACAGCCACTCCCGACCTTCCCTACAGCTCTTAAGATGTGGCTAGTGTTAGAGATCTTTTAGGCCACCAAGCCTTTTCATATTCCCCCTCTCATGGAGAAGCACTGAGCAGTGGGGACCCCAGCAGGTGAGACAGCTGCTTATGTACCCCTCATGTCTTTTATTTTATTTATTTATTTATCTTTTGGTTTTTCGAGACAGGGTTTCTCTGTATTGTTTTGGAGGCTGTCCTGGAACTCGCTCTGTAGCCCAGGCTGGCCTCGAACTCACAGTGATCCGCCTGCCTCTGCTTCCCCAGTGCTGGGATTAAAGGCGTGCACCACCATGCTCAATTATTTGTTTTATTTCTTCCAGTAGGACAATTACTGCAGGTCCAGTGTAGTCAATACAATATGAAGGTGTGCGTTTGAGGCCAACCTGGCCTATATAGTGAGACCCTGTCTCAAAATTAGCAACCACCCCATAACTGCACACACACACACACACACACACACACACACACACACACTATCACCAAGAGCTATGCATGGCAGCCCATGGCTGTGGTCCCAGCACTGCTGAGGCAAGAGAGTCAGCAATTCAGGGTTAATCTGGGTTACATGAGACATTTTCTGGAAAAATGAATGGAACATACACATACACCCATCGCAAACAAAAAGAAGGGCATGCCTGGGCTCATGAACCTGCACTACGCCCTGGGGCATCCTGGCCCCATGTAACCCAGGCATGGTGGGATGGTTGTCACCCCAGCATTAAACAGTGGAAGGCAACAGGAGCCACAGGGCACCCGCCCTCCCCCAAGCTCCTGAAGTAGACTTTTGTGTTTTAGTCACCTGTCCCCTGCTCCTGCAGGGCCTCATGAACTCAGGACTTTTGAATAGCCACCATGTGGGAGACAGGCATGTGTCAAATATCTGTGGGGGTCACGCTGGGCTGGCTCTGGCAGGCCACCGGATCCTGGGATCCTGTCTGTGTTTGCCTCCTTTCTGAACAGCTCAGACAAAGTCTCACAGTCCCCACGCTGCAGCCCCAGGGCCTGAGGCTGCCACACTGAAGGTCGTGTGACACCCCATCTGTCCCTGGCTCTTGATCTCTGGTTCCCGCCTCTCAGAGCTGTGTTCTTGTGTGAGGATGCTGGCTGTGTCTTTGCGGGTCCTTTTCATCTTATGTCCTCCGGGCCTCCCTCACCACCCCCAGGACTAATTAAGGCATTTTCCTAAACAAGCCCGGTTGCATCTCAGAAAATGAATTCTGAAGCCAGCTGGTGAAATTAATTCCCTTCTCTATCTTCTATCATAGCAGAATGAGTGACACTCAGGGGCACCTGCAGCAGGCCAGTGGCCTGGGAGCCAGGAGACTTCAGACCAGTGTAAGCACTGGTAAGAAGTGATTACACTGAATCCATGTAAGAAGGAGCCCGTCTGTGCGGCCTAGGCTGGCCAAGGTTGATAACAAGCACCCCAAGGCTTACCAGCCAAAGACAACTAAGGGTTTTTTATTGTATGATTGTACTATTATTAAGTTCTATTTTGAGACAGAACTTAAATTAGCCCAGGTTGGCCTCAAGCTTAACTAAGTAGCTAACAATGACCTTGAACTCAACAGGCATGCTAGGGGAATGTCTGACCTTGAACCCTGGCTGCAGCGATTGAGCTGGCCCTTTTCCAGACCAAGGTGACTCCAGGAGAATTTCTAGCTCTGTGGGACTAAATTTGGAGAAAGCGTTTGGCAGACTAAAGCCAAGATGCGGGAGGAACCAATGTGTGCTGTGCCCCTGCGGCTCTAGTCTCTGAGACCCCATAGGTGGCCAAGCGGGTGTTTCTCCTATTTTGGCTTTGTGTATGTCTGGATATTCGTGTATGTGTGCGAGAGCATGTGACTAGTGCCTGTGTTGACTGTGTATGTGTGTATGTGTGCCTGTGAATGTGTGTGTGTACCATGTGCCTGCAGCTGCCCATGGAGGTCAAAAGGGGGCATCAGATACCCTGGAGCTGTTGGCTGCCTGATGTGCATGCTGAGAACCAAACTCAGGTCTTCTGCAAGAGCAGTATCCACTATTAACCATAGCTCTATCACTCCAGGCCCTCAGCTCTGTCTGTGTGTGTGTGTGCATGTGCGTGTGCGTGTGCGTGTGTGTGTGTACATACACCCATGTACATGGAGGTCAGAAGTCAATCTTGTGTCATTCCCAATATTCTCCCTACCCCATGTTTGAAGATATTGTCTCCCACTCATTGTGGAGCACCCCATCAGCCTAGGTGGGCCAGTTAACTAGCTCCAGGCATTGCCTTTCTTGGTCTCTCCAGAGATGGGTCTAGAAGCTGCATCACATCTGGCCTTTGCCATGAGTTCCGGGGATCGAATTCAGGTGTGGCACAAATTCTTTTTTTTTTTTTTTGGTTTTACAAGACAGGGTTTCTCTGTATTATTTTGGAGGCTGTCGGTCCAGCCTGGCCTCAAACTCACAGAGATCCATCTGCCTCTGCGTCTTGAGTGCTGGGATTAAAGGCGTGCGCCTCCAACGCCCGGGTTGTGCAGCACGAATTCTAATTGTTCTCTTATTTTTCTTTGAGACAGGGTTTCTCTGTGTAGTCCTGGCTGTCCTGGAACTCGCTCTGTAGACCAGGCTGGCCTTGAACTCACAGAGATCCACCTGTCTCTGCCTCCCGAGTTCTGGGACTAACGGCTGCACCACAACCACCCTGCCTAATTGTTCTTATTAATAAAAACTCAGAGTCAGATATTGGAGTGAATGCTGAACATCAGGAGAAGCAAAGTAGCCAGGCACTAGAGAGTTCTCATCTCTACCAATGCTCAGACTAAAGGGGCGACCCTGTCCTCACAGTGCATCCTCACACTGCATCCTCAGACTGCACTGCATCCTCAGACTGCATCCTCACTCTGCATCCTCACTCTGCATCCTCACTCTGCACTGCATCCTCACTCTGCACTGCATCCTCACACTGCATCCTCACACTGCACTGTATCCTCACTCTGCATCCTCACTCTGCATCCTCACTCTGCATCCTCACACTGCATCCTCACTCTGCATCCTCACTCTGCATCCTCACTCTGCACTGCATCCTCACTCTGCATCCTCAGACTGCATCCTCAGACTGCATCCTCACACTGCATCCTTACTCTGCATCCTCACACTGCACCTTCACTCTGCATCCTCACACTGCACTGCATCCTCACTCTGCATCCTCACACTGCACTGCATCCTCACTCTGCATCCTCACTCTGCATCCTCAGACTGCATCCTCACACTGCACTGCATCCTCACACTGCATTCTCACACTGCATCCTCACACTGCACTGCATCCTCACTCTGCATCCTCACACTGCGTCCTCACACTGCATCCTCACACTGAGTCCTCACACTGCGTCCTCACACTGCATCCTCACACTGCACTGCATCCTCACACTGCATCCTCACTCTGCATCCTCAGACTGCACTGCTTCTCACACTGCATCCTCACACTGCATCCTCACACTGCTTAGACTGCACTGCTTCTCAGACTGCACCCTCTCCTGTCTCCTCCTGCCTTACATTTCTCTCTCTTCTAGCCACATCATTCCTGTCTCTACCTCCTTAGTGCTGGGATCATCTTTGTGTGATGTCTGTTTCTCTTTTAGACTGAATCAATTTCATGTAGCCTGGGGTGGCCTTGAACTCACAGAGATCCTTCTGCCTCTGTCTCCTGAGTGCTGGGATTAAAGGTGTGGCCACCACTGCCTGGCCTCGTGTGGCTGGCTTTGCACTCTGATCTTCAGGCAAGCTTTATCTGTTAGCTCATAAACAAAACATCACCACACTCATTTGCACAGCTGGCATTCTGCCCACTGAGCCATCTCCCCAGGGTGAGAATGTACAGTGAGTCATGAACTCAGTCTAAGCTGGAGTCCTGAACGGCTCATCCGGTGAGCTTCCAACTGCAGACATTCTGTCTCTGCACTGAGGTGGCATCGATGTTCCCTACATCCAAGACTCTGTAATTCAGCCATAAAGGGATCTCACTGGGAACCCAGACTGCTCCGCGACCGTGTTAATGGAGTTACAATGTCCACCTGCTCTGCCCTGTGTCCCCTGCCCAAGTTCTACAGATGCCCAATTACAATGTGCTCAAGGTGCCAGCCCCGGTGTGGGAGATTCAGTTCACAAGGGGCAAGAGGGCCACTGGATGTCAAGGAGCCTTCAGAGGACCCCAACAAGAAGAGGCACAGGAAACTTAGAACTGGGGTCAAGGTCTAGGTTACCCTGGGCCCAGTCCTGACAGATCTGTTTATTGAAGACAAGAGTAACCGGTGAATGGCTTAACAGGTGACTGTCTTAACTAGGGACCAAGTTAACTGGTTAATGGAGGAATGCGCTAATAATGAGGGGGTCAGCTGGCAAGTTGGCTAAACCATGAACAACAGGTGGCTAGATGGATGGGTTAATAGTTGGTTAGCTAGCAAGTTAGTTGGTGACTGGGCTAACTAATTCCTTGCATTACCATTTCTGGTTCTCACTGTTTCTGTCTTGCTGCCAAATTGTGAACCCATACAACCAGCCTTGTTGAGAGGCCTGCCCATCCCAGACCTCCACCACTCAGTCACCCACTCACGCCTACTCACACCCACTCACGCCTACTCACACCCACTCACACCACTCACACCCACTCACACCACTCAGTCACCCACTCACACCACTCAGTCACCCACTCACACCACTCAGTCACCCACTCACACCTACTCACACCCACTCACGCCCACTCACACCCACTCACGCCACTCAGTCACCCACTCACACCCACTCACGCCCACTCACGCCACTCAGTCACCCACTCACACCCACTCACGCCCACTCACACCACTCAGTCACCCACTCACGCCCACTCACACCCACTCACACCACTCACGCCCACTCAGTCACCCACTCACACCTACTCACGCCTACTCACACCCACTCACACCACTCAGTCACCCACTCACGCACTTCCCCTCCACCACTCACGCACTTCCCCTCCACCACTCACGCACTCACGCCCACTCACCTGCTCACACTACTCCCAATCTCCAAGCTTATACAGACCAGTAACCCTTGGTGACAACATGGGGACCAGTGGCACACCTCTCCCACTTGGCTCTGCTGCTGTGAGACCCCAGAATTGCCATCCGAGCTTCAGGGCCTGTGATGCTGACCTCGTGGAACTTGGGGGTGCAGAGCCGCTGTCTGGATGGAACTCAGAGTACAGGCCCATCATCTCTCATCTGTGATGAGAATAGGAAAAAAATGCGTTTTAGACAAATAAGAACAGCTTAGTTCAATACAGAGAAACCCTGCCTCGAAAAACCAAAAAAAAGAACAAGAACAGCTTAGTCAGGAACCCCACTACACCCAAGGCTGGAGAGTCACCCAGGACTCCACTCCTTCAAGATAAGCAAGGACGGCAGCTCTGCTCCGCGCATCTTCAGGACTGCCGGAGACGCTGGAGAGACACCACCTTGACCCACCCTGCGGCTGGAGAGTCTCATGCGGGATCCTGATCCTGCAACTGGAGACTACCTTGAGAGATTGGACCCGACACAGGGGAGCAGCCTTGGGGAGACAGACCAGCGTGGTGAGTGTGGCCTGGTGGTGGTGCATGTCTTTAATCCCAGCACTCTGTGAGACCAGGGCCAGCCTGGTCTACATAAAGAGTTCTACACAGAGAAACCCTGTTTCGAAGAACCAAAACAAAACAAAACAAAAACAAAAAAAACAAACCCCAAACCCAAACAAAGCATATACTTATATCTATTACAAATATACATAATTTATTATATATGTCACAAATACATAACATATTTATCATGCCAACTACGCTTGCAGTATCAGTGTCTCGTGTCATATAGCCTCATTGTGGGCAGCCAAACTGGAAACTTTTCAGCTCTAGAGAAGCCCGTGAAGGTCCTGGAAGCAGCCCCTCCCCCAGTCACCAGCTTGGCGGGATCTCCTCACATCCTGTTCCGTCTCAGGGACAGAGCCTTCCTCATTGATGGCTTTTCCGTAAGGGTGGGATTCCTGCTTCCCGGGGTGGGAGTCGGGTCACCCCAGACGCTGGAAGGCACTAGAAGGTTCTGTCAGGGGGCGGTGTGCAAACGAGCTGGCCAGGCCCCCGCCTTTCCAACACCAACCCCCTCCTCCGTCTACACACGGCGGCTCACAGGCGGGAGCCCAGCAGGCGGGCGAGGGGCCCGGCTGCTCTACCACTCAGACACCACGGCAGGCGCTGGGGAAAGTTGGGGGCGTGGCCCAGCGAGGCCTCCGTCGTCCGTGGGAGGGTCCAAGACGTAAACTCGAGCCTCTCATTGGGCAGCATAGGAGGGGTGGGGCTTGGCGCGGCCCGCGGGGAGCCCGCTCTAGGTGCGCACCACAAGTTGATGGGCAGGAAGGAAGGCGGCTGGGGGCGGGGCCTAGGCGCAGGTACGGACCTCCCGCTGGGCGGGGACACGGGCGGGGCCTAGCGCCGCTGTGCTGTGGCCCCGCCCCTGGCCCGCGGGGATCGGCGCGGCGGTGGAGGCGGTGAGCGCGCGGGCTTGCGGCGGCGGTTGGCGGGCGGGCTTCCGCCGTTGGGACCGCCGCGGCCTGGTCGCTCAGGCTCGGACGCCGCGTCGGGTGGGCTGGGGGTGGGTGAGCCCGCTGCGGCCTTGGGAGGGCCGGGCGGGAAGCAGGCGGAGAGCCTGGGGAAGGGCGGCGGCTGGGCCGGACCCGCTGGGCCGCGTCCGGTTCTGCGCAGGGCCCATGTACGGCCGAGCGCCGTGGGTGCTGAGAACCTCCAGTTTCCTGCTGCGAATCCTGTTTTTCTTACCTGAATCCCTCTCTCTATAGCCTGAGCCCGGTCCCCCCTGAGAGCCTCGTATTTCCGGCCTGATCCCTATCTTCTGCAGCCTGAACCCCGTGTTTCCGGCCTCATACTCATCTTTTGCAGTCTGAATCCCAAATATTCTGCCTAATTCCCCCTCGTTGCAGCCTGGACCCGTGTCCTTGCTGAGAGCCCGAATTTCCTGCTGGAAGCCCCGTATTAACCCAATTCTGCTACCTCTGCATTGTGAACCCAACGTTTCTTACTCGACCGCGAATTTCTTGCTTGGTAGCCCATTTCTGCAGCCTGAACCTATGTTCTCAGTAGAGAACTCTGAATTTCCTGCGTGGACCCCACTGTGCATCCTGAACCCCCATTTCTTCCTCTTGACCCCCTCTCTGCAGTCGGAACCCAAAATAATCCTGTTTGAATCCTATCCCTGTTGCGAACCTAAAGATTGGTGTCAGAGGCCCAGTCTTTGCCTCCTTTGCTCCCCGCCCCTGATCTCTCATCGTTGCTACAAACCCCGTATTTCCTGTTGAACTCCCTACAGCCTAAGTCTCAGCCCCTTGTATGAGCCCCATCTTTTCTTCTTGTGCTGCTCCCACTCTGTGAACCTGGGTCCTGCTGCAAGCCCCATCTCTCCTGCCTGGCTCTTCTCCCTGAAGCTCCTCTCTTGCCATGAACCCCATATTTGCTCCCCAAACCCTCTGCTAACTGCCCCATCTCTTGTCTGATTTCCATACCTGTTAGAATCCTTATTTGCTTCCTGAAATCCCTGCTGCCTGTGCCCTCTGGAAACCCTCTCCTGCTCCTGTGAGCCTCTCTGCGTATACCCTTGTTTTCGCTGGTGGGTCTCCTCCTTGTCCCTGGTGTCCTTCCTGCTGCTTTGACTCCCCTCCCCCATCTTTCCATTTCTGTCCACAGCCCTGGCTGTCTGTGCCAGGGGAGTCATGTCGTGAACGCCTGCATCTGTCCCTGTCCTTCCAGGGAACGGGCAGCTGTGTGCCCTGAGTGTGCTGCAGCCACCCTTGAGGCCTAAGGCTTGGAGGGTTGTGAGCTTTGACTGGAACGCCTGCTGCTGCTGTGGGTGCCCTGGGTGCTGCCTTGAAGTAGGAGGGCGGGGAGGGGGTCTATTGAGTTTTACTTAGGGAGACAAGGCAGCCACTTACTTCCCCAAGTCCCAGGGCCCTGCACTTGACTGCCTCGTGACCTGTCTCCCAGAGGCTGTGTGTGCTGCCTGCGATGTCACCGAATGGGACAGACGCCTTTCTGAAGCGCCACATTTTGTTGCAGGGCACCTCTGGCGTCAGTCCTGCAGCACCTTGAGCATAGTACTCCCTTTTGCCACAGCCCCGAGTCATGACGGATGCCCAGTATGTCCTCTGCCGATGGGAGAAGCGATTGTGGCCTGCGAAGGTGACAGCCTTTATTCTCTTATTTGCGGAATTAGAAATGACTTTTGGTGACAATAAAGTCTTTATCAGGCTCCGCTCTCTCAGAGTGACTCTAGGAGAAAGAGTTGAGTCTGAATGCTTGGCGCCCAGATCTGCTGGCAGGAGTCCCGAGGTTCCCTTCACTCTATGGGGTTTTGGTCTGGCGCTTATGAGCCTCTATATTTGGAATTGTCTTTATTTTTCACCCTAAGGAATAGAAAAAGCATAAAAATAACCCGAGTCAGTTAAAAAATGGTGTGGAAGGCTGTGACAATAGGAAGTATCTAGCTAGCTAGGAGCCCCCAGATGGGGAGTAACTGTGGTGTTTCGGGGTGCTTTGTAGCAATTTAGTGGGAATTGCTAAGCCGTGCCCTAACCTGGGATGGCCATGGGCTCATGTGCCTCAGTTTCTCTTAGGTGTCTGTTAAATCCTGTGGCTGTCACCTTGGGAAGGACTTGCCACATGACGTTTCCATCACAGCGCCATAACAAGATTTTTTTTTTCTTTTTTTACACGTAGGTTTTGGCCATCACTGAGACTTCAGTGAAAAACAGGAGAAAAAAAGAATTATTTCTAGATGTTCAAATACTCTCGCTAAAGGAAAAGTTAAGTGTGTTTTTTCTTTCTTTTTTTTAATACTATCTTTCCCCTTCTGTCTGCGGTTTCTAAAGCGATTGTCACAAAAGGAAGAGAAGCATGCTTCTTCGGAGCTTACTCGTCTTTCCACACTAATAGCCTCGTGGGGAGGACAACGGGTTTTATTTGACACCAATTTCAGGCTGAAGGTCTTATGTGAGGCTCAGGGATCTGCAGGGAGAGGGGTCTCAATGGCAAATACATAGAAATTATCTCCAGGGAGCCAGCCATGCTGGGGTCTCCTCTCACCAAGGACCAGCGTGTCTTGTTACTGCCCCGGCTGCTCCAGGCTCACTGCACCACTGAGGGAAAAATATTTTTCCACACCGGAAAGGCGGATGGGTAGCAGGACTCTGTTGTCCTGCACCTGGTGACCCCTCATGGGTCATCTGCAAGGACGACGTGGGTGTGGCCTGCATACAGTCCCCTGTCACAGCCCTTGCTTCTGAAGAGTCCACTGGCCGCCTGTCTCCTGGGTCCCCCAGCCGCTCCTTCCCGCCACCATCTTCAGAGCCTGCCACCTCTCAGAGTCCCCAGCTCCCTCTCTCCCTGCGGCAGGGAAGGTAATTGAATACTTGAGTTTAAAAGGAAAGCGCATCCTTTTAAACTAAAATGCGCCTGCTGGGCTGTAAACAGCTCTCAGTGACATTAGCGGCTACTCAGAAACCCTAACAAAGGAGTTATTTGTGCAGTTGAAAGTCGGATTTGCCTCATGAAAGTCCCAATTTGAATTTATTTTTACTCTTAACTCCAGCCGACCTTTTCTTTCTTAAAAGAGAGGAAAAAGCCATATCCACCCTGGTTGGCTGCCTGTCACCTCAGGCAGTGTGTCCCTCTCTGTCCCTTTTTCACTGTGACTTTCTGTGTGAGTGGAAGGTTGAGAGGAGCATCTGGACAGTAAGGTTTGCAGGCTGGTGGCACTAACTGGCTCTTTGTCACCGCAGGATTCAGGTGAAGAGCTCGGCCGTGGAGGCGCTGCAGAAGTCGCACATTGAGAACATCGCTGCCTTCCTGGGTAAGGGCTCCAGCCAGGCCCCCGAGTGCTGGGCCTCAGCCACAGGTCATCCTCTCCACACCTCATTGTGGGGAACCTCACAAAAGAAAAAATGGATTTGCTTGCTGTTTTTCCTTCCCCCTTTTGAGACAGGGTCTCATGTAGCTCAGGTTGATCTTGAAATCACTGTATAGCAGAGACTGACCTTGAGCTCCTGATCCTCGGCTCGGATCCCCAGTGTTGTGATGGTGTGTGCTTGTGTGCTGGGGGACAGGACACAGGCCTTGTGCATAGCACAGGCATTTGCTCCCTCCTGGGGACCTGCCTTGTAAGCCCCACCAGAGCCAGCTCCCTGTTGGCTTATGCTTGTGGCTTATTGTTTGGGCAGTGCTGGCGGTAGGAGCACCGAGCTCTAGTCCCTGCTTCTGTGTGTTTCTGTGTTTCTTAGCTTTTGAGAGAGTCTCACACTGCAGCCCAGGCAGCCTGGAAGAGGTGGCAGTCTTCCTGCCTCAGCCTTTCTAGGACTCGGATCCCAGGTTTTGAACCCGAGGTCCAGTTCCAGCTGGATTCCTCCGCACACCAACTGCTTCTCAGACCCCAGCCAGAGCCAGATCTGCCAGATGGCAAGAGCCACCGTAGAGCCTTGTGATGGGCAAGGAGGACAGGAGAGGACGTCTGCTCCCACAGGAGCAGAGAGCCCCAGAGGCCACGGCATGGGGCTGGGAATGGCCTTGAAGCTTGGGGTCAGAAGAACTGGGAAAGTAGAGTTTGTGGGGTAGCAGGTTCAGACCAGCCAGCCTGCAGACTGAGCCTCTTCAGTAGTAAATGTGGGCTGGGGCTGGAGCCCCATGATAGGAGCCCCACCCGCATGGAGCCTTGCACTTAGGTTTTGGAGCCACTGCGTGCATACACGACGTGCAGATAGACATAGGGACAGGGACTCACGTGCAAACGTAACATGCAGACACATATATGCATACACGACATGCAGATAGACATAGAGACAGAGACTCACGTGCAAACGTAACATGCAGACACATATATGCATACACGACATGCAAATAGACATAGGGACAGAGACTCACGTGCAAACATAACATGCAGACACATATGCATACACGACGTGCAGATAGACATAGAGACAGGGACTCACGTGCAAACGTAACATGCAGACACATATATGCATACACGACATGCAGATAGACATAGAGACAGAGACTCACGTGCAAACGTAACATGCAGACACATATATGCATACACGACATGCAGATAGACATAGGGACAGAGACTCACGTGCAAACGTAACATGCAGACACATATGCATACACGACATGCAGATAGACATAGAGACAGAGACTCACGTGCAAACGTAACATGCAGACACATATATGCATACACGACATGCAGATAGACATAGAGACAGAGACTCACGTGCAAACGTAACATGCAGACAAAGACAGAGACATGCATACATAACATACAGACAGACATACATGCATACATAACATAGACATGGATACACAGCATAAGACAGGCACACATGCTTATATAACATGCAAGCAGACACATGCATGTATAACATACAGACAGACAGACATATACACATAAATTGCCAGTTAAAAGCCCAGGGAGCAAGGACAGAGTGGACAGCTTCCAGGCTGCCACCTCCGTGTTAGCTGCATGTACCGCTGGTGTGATGAGTCTGGCTGTGTGTCCGTCGGGTAGAACTCTGCTTCCTTTGTCTGTACAGGGCCTCAGTTCAGCACCCTCCACCCCTTCCTCCTCTGACTGAGCTAGACGTCTATGCAGCCCACTCCAGACTTGGCACTGGCACACACAGTGAGGGTCCTAGCTGCTGGCAGTCCCACCCAGCAGAGCCGGTGTCAGGCTAAGGAGATTGAGCCCGTGGATTGAGAGAGTGAGTCACCAGCAGACAGGCCAGGGCAGCTGAAGCAAGGGCCTTATCTCCTGGAGCCCCCAGTTGTCCAGGGTGCTGGCATCCTCAGTGCTCACTCGGATAGTGAGGGCTGCTTGCTTGTAAGGACCTTTTAGTATTTATTAAGCAGGCGCCAAATGTGGGTCTGGTAGACGGAGGCGAGTATGAAGCTGTCCCCGACACTCCATTCAAATAAGCAGTGCAAGACATTCAGGTATGTTTATACACAGCATTGTTTTGGAACTTGGAGGGATTGTGCGGTCAGCCAGTTAGGCTGAGGTCATTCTGGATGTGTGCTGCTCTTCATGGTCCTGAGTGAATGTAGAGCCATGTCTTGGCTCTGTCCTCCTTTTGTCGGGGACACAGCAGAGCAGTGCCAGGCCTGCCTGTTGCTTGGTAGAGACGGGTGCTAGGCACTCGGTGTGGTAATTGAGTCTGCTGCTGGACAGCTACCATGCTAAGCCCTGGGCACTTGAGTGGAGGAGTCCTCATTGTGTCTATCTTTGTCTCCACAGCTTCTCAGAATGAGGTCCCGGCTGCTCCCCTGGAGGAGCTGGCCTACCGGCGCTCCCTGCGAGTAGCCCTGGATCTCTTGAATGAGAGGACCAGTTTGGGTCCTGAAAGCCATCCGATAGAAGACGAGACCACACTGTCCCAGAAAGAGAAGCCACACACAGATATGGCCTCTTGGGTCCCCAGTGCTCCCCCTCCATCCTCCCTCGGTGAAGATGGCGAGGATGCGGCTGCTCAGCGCACACCCAGGAGGAGGTGGGAGTGTGTCCCACAAAGCCTGTCAGCGTGGTCCTCATCCGGAGAGGACCGTGAGACCCCAAGAGCAGCCTTGCCCTCTCCCACTGAGGATGGGTCTCAGGACAGTTCTGGGTCACGACTGGACCGTGGACAGGAGGACAAAACCAATAAGAGGCGGAGGAATTTGGGAGAGAAACCTACCCAGCACCACAAAGCAGAGTCTCGTCTTTCCAAGGGAGAGAGTGTTGTAGACAGCGAGGGACAGGGAAGCAGCTATACGACCCCGGCTTCACCAAGGCTGCTCTCCCAAACCCGTGACGAGGACCCCTGTGCTGGGGTGAAAGGCTGTGACCGGGTTGTACCGTCAGGCAGCAGCAGGCTACTTCCGGCCTCTCAGAGAGGCAAAGGACACCCCACAAAGAGGCCACGCTTGGATGGAGGCCAGAACCCACCGGCCAGTCAGCTGGGGCCTGGAACTGTGGGGGCAGTGCCCTCCCCTAGGAGCTGGTCTGGGGAGGCTATGGTACCACACAGTGACACTGACAAACCAGAGGAAGGTAACCATGGGCAGGGACGCCTGCTGTGGGGTTCTGAGTTTCGTGAGTGTGGTGTTTTAACAGGCCCTTCTCCAAAATACTTGTCTTTGTGTTTGAGTAGAGTGGGGGCTCAGGCAGAGCTAGGGGAGCAGTTAATGCTAAAAGCAATCCCAGCAAGTGAGGGGGCTGCTCAGGGCATTAGGAGGCCTAGTGTCAGGAGCTGTCGGAGGTCATTCTGAAACCTGTGTGTGGCTGCAGCCGGGGCTGGTCCCGTCTAAACTTGTCGACCCAGTGAGCTCTGGCAGGAGCATTCAGGAATCAGGTGTGTAGTCTAGGGGACGTGGGACACAGTGGGAGCCTTCACAAGGCCATCCTGTGGCTGGCCACGAGCTACAGGGGTGACTGATCCCCTCCACCGTGTCTTGGGGACTGTCTCTGGACTTGTTTGCAGTCACCTTTTGTTGTGGGGGCCCGTTCTCTGTATCTACATGGTGGACAGGGTGCCACCTGGAGTCCACACTTTGTCACTGAGCGCTGCTCTCCACTCTCCCTGTTTGTTTTAAAATGAAGCGCATCCTAGAAGGCTGCAGCTCAGAGTCAGAGCACTTGCTTGGCAAGCGAGACGCCCTTTGTTCATCCCTAGCATCAGAGCTTAAACGAAAAGGAGAGGCCATCGAGGTGGCTTAGTCGGTGAAGACACTTGTCACCAAGCTTGTGACTGAGGTTTTTTTTTGTTTTGTATTTTATGTATGAGTGCTCTGCATATAAACCTGTAGGCCAGAAGAGGATGTGGACCCTCTTACAGATGGTTGTGAGGACCTCTCGAAGACCAGCCAGTGCTCTCTGCCCTGCTCCTAGTGATCTGAGTTTGATCACAGGAACCCACAGGGTGGAGGGAGAGAACTAACTCCACAAAGTAGTTCTTACCTCCGTGTGTGCTCAAGTGCACACACGTGCATGCACACACACACACACATGCACACACAAACCACACGCAAGCATGCTCACACACACACATGCACACACAAACCACACGCAAGCATACACATACACACACAACATGCATGCACAAACACACAAGGACATGTAGACATTTTAAAGAAAGGCGAACACAGGTCTGACCACGGGGAGCTACCTTGTTGAGTCCTGTGCAGGCACTGTCCTTTGTCTCTAGCCCTTTGCAGAGTGAGGGGCGGCCATCAAGTGGTATCCCCCTGTCTCAGCAGATCCTGTATCCTCAGAAGAGTCCACAGGGTTCAAGTCTGTCCAGTCCCTGCCAGAGGAGGAGGAGGAGGAAGAGGAGGAACCACCCCGGATCCTTCTGTATCACGGTAAGCGGGCGTTCCGCTTGAGAGCAGGGGGTGAGGGCCCCACTCTGCACAGCCCTTCATAAAGCCGTCTCATTGTTAGGTGCTGCCGGTGCTTTTTTTTTTTAGACAGGGGTCGCACTGTGTGTCTCCAACTGGCCTGCAACTTTCTGTGTAGACCAGACTGGCCTCTGATTCAGTGAGATCCCCCGCCTCTGCCGTGAGAGTGCTCGGTTGAAAGGCATGCACCTCCTTTTAGTTTTTATGTTCTGACTCGAGACCTGTCGCCTTGTCCCTTCTCTAATGGTGCTTTGAGAGGAGGCAGAGGATTGAGGAGAGGTAGCAGCCCTCCATGGAAAGCCAGCATTGGTCCTGCCCCCTTCTGGGCACTCTGGATAGAGACATAAGCTCTTGCCCTCAGTTGGGCAGGGCTGCCTTTGCCAATGGTACAGGGACCCATGTCTATCCAGGGACGTTCAGCTCCTCACTAAAAATACTCCATGGATGGGGCGTACAACCAAGGAGCCCAGTGAGGCCCGGATGATGCGGGGCAGGCTGAAGCTGTCAGCAGCCTCCTGGGCAGGTGACGCCTGCAGAGCACAGTATGGTTAGTGAAGGCAGCCAGACTCCATCCCCAACTCACCTTCTGTTCCTTCTTAGTGTGCGTGAGTCCCAGGGCTGAGTACCCACTGAGTATCTAGAATAATAGGAGGAGCTGGGTGTTGGTGTGAGCTCATCATTTGGGTCAGTTCTGAAGATCAGAGCATACTGACTGCAGATGGCCCTCAGCTCCCGGACATTAGGGTCTTTGGCATCTACTGTCCTTCCATGGCAGGCTTGAGCTGATGGCTTCCTAACCCACCAGACCAAGCTCATGACAATTGCCAGACCCAGCCAGGGTCTCTAAGGAGCTTGGTGCCTCTTCTGGCCATGTCACCTCCTCCTCAAGGACCTGCCCCCCCCAAGGAGCTTTCCTGGCCTCTGGCAGGAGGCACGGCGGCATCCCTTCCCCTTCCTGCTGGCTCTCCTGGTGCTAAAGCTTAACAGTCTGTACAGTCCCTCACACCGGGATTCGTGGCGGATAGAAAATGTTAAGTTTATGCAGAAAGCTGGTGAAGCCTTAAAAAACAAAGCCGGGCGGTGGTGCACGCCTTTGATCCCAGCACTCAGGAGGCAGAGGCAGGCGGAGCTCTGTGAGTTCAAGGCCAGCCTGGTCTACAGAGTGAGTTCTACATAGATAGGCAGACAGACAGACTGACTGACTAACAGCAAAGCCAGGGCTGTGGCCCCATGCTAGAGCACTGACACTAACGCCCTGGCGTCGGCTCTGTCCTGGGTATCCCATAAACCAGGCATGGTGGTACCCCGTCACCCCAGCACTCGTGAGGCTGAGACAGGGTCTCTGAGTTCCACGCCAGCCTGGTCTACAGAGACCTCTGTCTTAAATCATAGCAAGGGTGGCTTCTCCTCCTCCGAGAATACTGTATTTTGTGACCTTGGTTTCTCAGATTCCTTGAACTTGGTGTTCCTGGGAGGACAGTTTATTGTGTGAACCATGTGATTCTATAATGTCCAGTTCGGTGTGGAGCTGCGCCTGGCATGGATGCAGTTATCTAAATGTCTGCTTTTGGAAGGACGGTAGACTTAGAGATGGGTTTTGGGATGGGACTCATCCATTCTGCTGCTCACTCCATCTCTGGCCATAGGCCACACACAGTCATGGCCTCGTGACCCATCATGGGCGTTGAGACTCCCATTCTGTAAGTCCTGTGTCTGCCCACTCGTGTGGGTTTCTTGGTGATGAGGTTAGAGTTGGGTTTAAATGATGCTGTGATGAATGCGGGTTTTCTTTTTTTCTGTCTATACCGTACTTGAGGTGGATTTGACTCAGTCCTTCTCTTCTTCCTTTTAATCCTAGAACCACGATCATTTGAAGTAGGAATGCTGGTCTGGCTTAAATACCAAAAATACCCGTTCTGGCCAGCCGTGGTAAGTGTGACTGCCGCCTGCTGTGGGTACCAGGTCCCTCATCTCAGCTCCTACTCCCCCTGCTCAGACATGCAGTTTGGTGGCTCTGTTAATGCTGGAAGACTCAGGCTCTGATGACTCAGATATGATGGGCCTGGTTATTTGATGAATGCCATTTAACCTGCCAAGCCACCTCCAGGAAGCTTGTGTGAGCATGTGCCCTGCCGAGCCTCAGGAATGGATGCTTCAAGTCTCCTCCATCCAGAGCCCTGAATTTAGATCCTATGATACCATGGGCATGGTGGCACGAACCTGTTAATCCCTGCACACAGGAGGCTAAGACAGGAGGATCTGAAGCACGGTTCTCAGCTACATGAGAATGTTGGGGGCTAGCCTGGGCTATATGAGCTGTCTCAAAAGCAAAATAGTAATAATTTAAAAAAAGGGTGAGCCAGGCAGTGGTGGCGCAGCCTTTAACCTCAGTACTCAGGAGGCAGAGGCAGGCGGATCTCTGTGAGTTCGAGACCAGCCTGGTCTACAAGAGCTAGTTCCAAAGCCACAGAGAAACCCTGTCTCGAAAAACCAAAAAAAAAAAACAAGAGCCAAATGAATTGCTCTATTCTACCTCATAGTATACCACAGAGCCTGGGATTACAGGTGTGTTCCACCACAGTTGCCCTTTTAGAAAAAGGCTTGAAATTAATGCATAATAAAATAAAGCATGTTCGTGCGCCAAAAAAAAAAAAAAAAAAAAAAATAGAGCCCCAGAACACTGGGCCTGAAGCAGGTCACATCCCAGCACTAGGCTTGGCAGCCCAGTCCCAGAGAGGCCTGGGGAGGTAGAGGGCCGCCTCTGCCCCGTCATGCCGTGCCGTCCCGATTTGCCCCACAGGTCAAGAGCGTCCGGAGGAGAGACAAGAAAGCCAGCGTGCTCTTCATTGAGGGCACCATGAACCCCAAGGGCCGAGGGTTAGTACTCTCGGGGTTGGGGCCTGGGCAGGGGGCTGCTGACGTGCAGTCCAGTGTCCTCAACCAGGTAGCTGGAGTCAGTGCCCAGGAGCCTCACAGTGGCCTCAGAGGCCCCCAGTCACCTTCCAGATGGTGACCCTGGGCACTTGTGTGTACCCGAGGGTGGCTGGTTGGGGTAGTGACCTGGGCCCCCAGTGCCATAGAGGTGCAGCCCAGAGTGGGGGTACCTCCCCTGGGATGAAGCTACCATGCTGACCTTGGCCTCTGTTCTGTCAAGAATCACCGTGTCTCTTCGAAGGCTCAAGCACTTTGACTGTAAGGAGAAGCATACGCTGCTGGTAGGTGGTGGCCGGGGTGTCTGTGTGTGCACGTGTACAGTCATGTTGGTATTGTCACCTTTGTTCTGTGTGTGTGCCGAGGTCGAGGACAGCCTGTGGTGTGGTCGTTGCCCCTTGTTCCCCACTGTGCCGTGTCCCCAGGCTCACTGGCCCTCCCGTGACCACACCCTGACTCACGCTAGGTAGGCACTCCCGTATCCGACTACTCTCCCGAGTGATCCTTATCTGCCTGGCTAGCAACACTTGTTTTGTTCTATTTACTCAAAGACCAAAGCTCCAGGCTGGGGGTAGTGCTGTGTGCTGAGCAGTTGGGTGTCACGGCCCCTGAGCGCGGCCGTCATGGTTGGTCCTTTTCAGTGGCACCCTTGGAAAACAGGAGGCAGTTTGGGCACTGAGGCGGTGATGAGCTCTGCTTGCTGCCGGCGTACCTGGCATGTGTCTCATCATAACATTCAGTATGAAGGCTTGAGTGGTTCCTGGAACACACCGGAAGGGGAAGGCATACTGGTTCATGGCTGTTCCCCCAGTCTTGGGAAACAGAGACAGGAGGATCCTAGGGCTCACTGACCAGCCAGCCAGTCTAGCCAAGTTGGGCAAGCTCCTGGTTCAGGGAGACTGTCTCAACAGAGGTAAATCAGCCTAGGACAGTACCCAGTGCCTACCGAGGCCTCCACATGTGTGAGCACACACACAAATCTGGGTGTGGGATACGGCATCCCCAAGGTGGCCCGTACCCACAGGTCAAGTGCGAGGTGCTAGCCGGAAGCTGAGACAGTAGGGTTAGGAGTTCAAAGGCCAGCGCTGGTTATAGACAAGGCATAGACTATATGAAACTGTCTAAAAAAGAACAAAATGGTCAGTTGTCAGTCTGGTGGCTTGTGGCTGCTTCACCTGAAGGGACTTGTCTGCCATACCCCTCAGAGGGCCAGGCCACACGGCACCTGCCTCAGCCTGGAGCCTAGGAGAATAAGGCTTGGTGCCTTCAGGGCTGCCGCAGCCCCTTGTCCTGCTGTTGGTTTCGTAGGAGAGAGCCAAGGAGGACTTCTCCCAGGCCATCGGCTGGTGTGTCTCGCTTATTACCGACTATCGAGTGCGGTTGGGTATGTGGGCTGCACCCCAGGGAGTGTGTGGGATTGGGCGGGTGGACCACACCATTGGCAACTCTTGAGGCAGGATGGAGGGGCTGAGGTAGATGTGGTCCCTGTCCTACATCCTGTCTGGCCTGGCTGACGTGTGACGATGCTGTTTCTGTGGAGGCGGGGGCAGGTGCAGCCCTCCTGACAGAAGGCCCAGCGCCTCTGCACAGTACTGCCTCCTCTGAGGTGACTGGTGTCACCTGAGCCCCTGGCCGCTCCTTCCTGGGCAGTGGACAGACCCGCACCCCACAGACCTGCCTCAGGGTCAAGCACAAACCAGAAAGCTTCTGTCCAGGAGTCCTGAGCCACGGGACCTGGCAGGGCACAGGTCTGAGCACGGCCCTTTCTCGTGCTCTCCACAGGCTGCGGCTCCTTTGCTGGATCTTTCTTGGAATATTACGCTGCTGATATCAGTACGTATAAGTGTTCTTCAACACGGGTCTGCCTTTGGTCCTTGAGAGACGTCATGCTGGGTCTCCTGCTGTCCTTGGAGCAGCATGCATGAGATGCCACTTCCATCCTGGGCAGAGCTCTGACCTCAGCTGCCCCCCTCTGCCCTGCATCCCAGTCAGGTGGGCAGCTGTGTGTCAGGTCTGAGGAGTACTGCCTTCACATTGGGGCATTTAGCTGGCGTACCTGATGGTCCCCAGAACACAACGAGGATTCTCTTCATGGGCACAAGAGCTCTGAAGAGAGTGGAGAGGTGAAGGGACACGGCTCCCGGTGTGTCGTTCCCTTGCAGGCTACCCTGTGCGCAAGTCCATCCAACAGGATGTCCTGGGGACCAGGTTTCCTCAGCTGGGCAAAGGGGACCCTGAGGAGGAGCCTGTGGGGGACAGTCAGCCAGGACAGTGGCGGCCGTGTAGGAAGGTGCTGCCAGACCGCTCCAGGGCCGCGCGAGACAAAGCCAACCAGAAGCTCGTGGAGTACATTGTGAAGGCCAAGGGTGCCGAGAGCCACCTGAGGGCCATCCTGCACAGCCGCAAGCCCTCACGCTGGCTGAAGACGTTCCTGAGCTCCGGCCAGTACGTGACGTGTGTGGAGACGTACCTGGAGGATGAGGCGCAGCTGGACGAGGTGGTGGGTTACCTGCAGGGCGTCTGCCGCGACATGGATGGCGAGGTGCCTGCACGAGGCAGCGGGGACCGCATTCGCTTCATCCTGGACGTGCTGCTGCCCGAGGTGGGTGCCCAGGAGGAGCCCAGTGCAGGTCAGATAAAGAGCCTGCCAGCCTGTGTGCTGGCTTTGTAACGTAGGCTGGCCTCAGACTGGGGTCCTCCTACCTCAGCCCCCTAAGTACTTGGGTGACGGGTCTGATCTCCACACCTGGCCACTGGAGTCACCCAGAACTACTTCAGTGTGTAACTTAGAACTGGGTGCTTTTGGCTGTCTCGGCTTAGCAGTGCCTGGGGTTGGGTGTAACGGTCCCAAGCAGGGAGCTCCTGATGGCCTCGCAGATGCTGCTGAGCCTGTGTGCCATAGGCTAGGGGCCTGCAGAGGACAGCTCCACTCCCTATCCGTACTGAAGGGACGAAGTCTCACAAGAAAGGCCGTCACCAAGGTGCGCTTGTGCAGGTCTGTCACCCAGCACATAGCTGCTGAGGCAGGAGGATTCTGACTCTGCAGTGAGACCATTTCTTTTTCTTTCTTTCTTTTTTTTCCCCCTGGGTTTTTGTTTTTGCTTTTTGAGACAGGGTTTCCCTGATGTCCTGGAACTCACTCTGTAGAACAGGCTGTCCTCAAACTTACGGAGATTCACCTGCCTCTGTCTCCTGAGTACATGTGCCACCATGCCCACCAGAGACAATTTCAAACAACAAATATGTATTTGCCAAAGCCACAGTGTGCCTACCTTCAAAAGTTAATGGTAGTTTGAGTTCCTGATTGTCAGAACTGTTATCAGTCAGACAAGGTCTCCTGATTGTCAGAACTGCTACACAGTCAGACAAGGTCTCCGACAGCCCAGGCTGCCCTTGAATTTGCCGTGTAGCTGAGGGTAGCCTTGCTGATTTTCCTGCCTCAGTGTCCCTAGGGGCTGGGGTGACAGGTGTGCATCCCACCTGATTTATGTGCTGCTGGGAATGGAACCCAGTCCTCGTGCGTGCCAGGCTAGCTCTGCCCGCTGAGCCCCTCCACTCTCCCCAGGCCATCATCTGTGCCATCTCTGCCGTGGAGTCAGTGGACTACAAGACAGCGGAGCAGAAGTACATCCGTGGTCCGACCCTTAGCTATCGGTAGGCCTCCTTGCTGCTGTGTGTGCCACGTGTACAAGGTGGTGCGGATGCTGCGTGCGTGCGTGTGCGTGAGTGTGCGTGTGTGCGTGTGCGAGTGTGTGTGTGCACGTGAGTGTGCGTGTGCGTGCGTGTGTGTGCGTGCATGTGCGTGCGCGTGCGCGTGAGTGTGTGTGAGCGTGCGTGTGCGTGTGTGCGGGGCTGCGTGTGTCTGTGCGGATGCTACGTGTGTGTGTGCGTGCGGATGCTGTGTGTAGGGCGGCAGGCTGCTCCTCTGAGCCAGGCTGGATGCAAGCCAGGACCCTGGGGCTGGGCAACAGCCTCCCCTGCGGTCGCGTGTGCTGCCGAGACCCCTGTAATCTCTTGTGTCAGGCGGTGTGGGCTCTGGTGTGGCTGGTGATGGGTACAGAGCGAGATTGAGAGGCAGTGCCACCGTCAGCGGCTGCAGATGAAGACACCTTTCCTGTCGGCCTGCTGCACTCCTGAGATGTGTGGCCTCAGAGCCTCTAATCCACCTCTGGGCACACTGCCAGACCTCAATGAGAGCTAAGCGGGGCAGGGCAGTGACAGGCAGGCGCTGCCGCCACTGCAATAGGGTCTCCACTCTGAGCCGTAGCCAGGCCCTGGCATGTTGGAGCACATTGCTCTGCGATAAGTCAGCATCCCCAGGTGGGCAGTGGGTCACTGGTACAGAGCTTCTCGGTGCCAGAGCAGCCAGGTTAGATGGACCCAGGGAGTGCAGCTCCCGTCATTTTTAAGGTGCAGACTCTGGGTTGACGTTGCAGCAAAGGCCTGGGCACCAGTTCTCAGGGGACTTGTTCTATCCCAGTGCTGTCGGGTGGGGAGGAGCCTGAGGCTCAGGCCAGTCTGGGCTACCCAGGCTAGAGGATGTCTCACTCAGTCGGTAAAGTGCTAGTGTTGCCCGGCGCCCTCGTAAAAAGCTGAGCGTGCTTGTGTGTGCAGAGCTCCAGCCCTGAAAAGGTGGAGACAGGAGGGCACTCTGGACTGAGGGCCGGCAGCCTAACCAGCAAGGACCCTACCAGGGTGGAGGTGGACGTCAACCACCTCTGCTCTCCATATTGTGAGCCTCTGTGTGTGTGTGTGTGTGTGTGTGTGTGTGTGTGAGCCTCTGTGTGTGTGTGTAAGCCTCTGTGTGTGTGTATGAGCCTGTGTGTGTGTGTGAGCCTGTGTGTGTGTGAGCCTGTGTGTGTATGTGAGCCTGTGTGTGTGTGTAAGCCTCTGTGTGTGTGTGTGTGTATGTGAGCCTGTGTGTGTGTGAGCCTGTGTGTGTGTGTGAGCCTCTGTGTGTGTGTGTGTATGTGAGCCTGTGTGTGTGTGTGAGCCTCTGTGTGTGTGTGTGTGTGTGTGTGTGTGTGTGTGTGTGTGAGCCTGTGTGTGTGTGTCTGCCCACCCTCCCTCTCTGCTGATGTAGCTCTTGAGATGAACCCAGGTCTTTGTTCCTACAAGGCAAATGCTTACTGCCCAGTCATGCCCAAAGTAAGCCTGTATTTTTAATGTGTCTGTCTTTGCCTGCCTGAGTGTGTGCCTGATAGAGGTCAGAGAGGGCATTGGATCCCTTGGGATTGGAGCTATGTGTGTGAGCGAGTGCTGGGAACTGAACGTAGGTCCTTGGCAAAATCAGCAAATTGTCCCAACCAGTGAGCCATTTCTCCAGCTCCCGAAATAGCCTTTAGAGTAAGTGTGGACAGGCAGAGGGAAGCGGGAGGGGTGCGTAAGTTCAAACCAGCCTGGGCCATGTGAGACACATTTTTTAAAGTCAGTCTTGGGCCATTCTCATCATCTACCTCTGTGAGACACGGTTTGTCTGTGTAGACCAGCTGATTTTGAACTCAGAGATCCGCCTGCCTCTACCTCCTGAGTGCTGGCCCATCTTTCTTTTTCATGGCTGTTTTCTTTAATGCGTAAACGTGCCAGCTGAGCCTGCATTGTCCCGCTTGTTCAGATCGTAGACGCCCACTTGGCCCTGTCTCACGGCCGTCTCTTGTCTCCTGAAGGGAAAAGGAAATCTTTGACAACGAACTCCTGGAGGAGAGGAGCCGTCGCCGTCGCTGATGCTACCACCCAGCCAGTGAGGCTTTCACAGCCTGCCGGAGGGCTCTTCGAGAATGCACTGGAAGCAAGAGGCCCAGAAGTGTGCTGACTTTGAACTGTGGGCCCCGTGTCATCAGTATTGTGTCTGTGAGATCAAATGTCATTGACACACCAGAAGCCTGCTGGCAGCTACAGACAGCCACTTTCTGGAAGTTTCTGTGCGTGTATGCGCATGTATGTTTGATTTTTGTTTGTTTTTTAATTATTATTATTATTATTTCATTTATAAATGAGTTTGGATGCACATGTACACAGTGTGGCCGGCATGTGTGCTTGGGTCCCATGTTACTTAGTTTCCAAAAGACTGATTAGAACACACAACTCCCAGAGCATTGACATGTTTCCCTGGCATTGTTTTATTTCCTCTCTATGTTTCTGGAATCTTTTCTGCCGCTCCTGTGTGGTGAGCAGCAGGTGGGGACCCCGGCGGCAGCAACAGTCTTTGCAGGTGGAATGTATTGGGGAGGTGGGGACACGTTTGCTCGGTGGCGTCTGTGTGTCCCTGCAAGGACAGGCAGGTCTGTTGCACTCAGCCCCCATATTCCTTCCCCACACAGCCTTGGTAATGTATTGAGACAGTTGTCACCAGTTTCCAGCATGGCCACCACCCCACCTGGAAACCGCTTCAGGGCTGGGGATGGGTGGGGATAACAGGAGGAAAGGCAGCCTCCTGCATCAGCTGTCACACCAGACACTGGGACCTGGGTGGCTGTGTGGGAGCTGTGTCCATCAAGGACAACGGCAGAGCCACTGCCAGCTACGACAGGCCTGAGCTGGACTGCTAGCCTGTCACACAACCCTGCAGGGACAGGGATGTCCAGCCTGTCTTTTGGTTCCTGGGTGTGGGACTCATGGATGTGCCCCACACTGTGGCCACCTCAGGATGAGATGGGGACATGGGTTCATTGGGAATGAGTGTGCTTCCAGGATGGTTCAGAGGCTCACACACTTCCATCTTTTGAAGTCTGAGGAGGAGGAGGCTGGGGCAGTCTGTCCTGCTGCCGCTGGGGACCCCCAAGGAAAGGATACTAGATTGAGCCATCAGTGTTGCTTCTGGGGCCTCTGGACCTAGTGGCCAAAAGAGTCCTGCTGACGGGGACAGCTTCCTGCTGGCTTTGGGAAGTGGGCCTACTCGGCCCATGTGTAGCACTGGTGGGGGTGGGGCCTTTCAGGTTTGTAAGTTACCCCTCGGTATCTCTGGGATTTTCATTGGCATGCCCTGACCATGCAGCCCTGCTGTTCTCTCGGAAGGGGCTTGTTCTCTGTCAGCGCTGCCCCATAGGGTGGGCCCAGGGCAAACAACACCCTGGCTGTGTCCTGGGCTCTGGACACGGCAGGCCCGGGGGGGGGAGACTGGGAACGGCCTGCGGTATCCCCTCCCTTCTGTACCTCTCCTGTGTCCTGTGAGTGGCGATGGCCTGTATTTCAGCTTGCCCTAAGCCACATTTCCCTCTACCCTTGGGCGCTTACACCTCATGGTAAGCTTTGGAAAGACTGAGAAACCAGATATGACTCCTCACCCCCGCCCTGTCGGTGCCCCCACGTCCTCCAGACACCTGTGCCTTGGCCCAGGGCCTTGTACCTTGTGATACCAGATGGGTCGTTTTCAGGGCATGCTGGCCCTAGAGTGATGGGCAGCATCACCGGCCAGCCCTTATGCCAGGAATGCCCCAGCTGAAATAAACACTCCTCTGCTTCTGTCCACACTGACCAGGTGGCCTGAGTCCTCTCCCGCGGTTGGTACCCTCCAACTCCATCCCTAGGCTCCCTGGTGCCATCTACTGGTGTTTTCCCGCCTCCTCATACCTCAGGAACCACAACCCTGTGTGTCACCCAGACCCTGCTGGGGCAGTAATGGCCTGAGTGGGCACCCTGGTGAGGGGATTGTGCATCAGTGACGTTGTGCCATGCTGAGGCAATGGGAAGTGTCCCTAAATCCATCCTGCCTGCCTGTCCTGCTTGGTGTGCCCTCCCCCTTCTCCCTCTGTTCTGCCTCCTCCTCCCAACCTGGACCACCACCCCCTTGCTGGCCCATAGCTGCTCATGGAGCCCCAGCATGTCCCCTCACCCCTCCCAATGTTTTGGTGATAGCATTGCAGCTCTGGGCTCCCGAGCACTACCCTGACCCCTGATCCCTGGCCATCTGCCAGGCAACACTGACCACACTTTCTACCGACCAGTGCTATAGGACATTACCCAGAGCCTGGTGACAGGAGCAGCATGCTCAAGAGGGCTCGGCTGATGAGAGGCCGGGCATGGAACATGTGTCAAGACTGAAGACTTGCAGTGATGAGGACGAACCAGCATCCTACCCATACCCTGCCACCAAGTCATACCCCGCCCTGACCTAAAATATATTGCATTTATTGTGGGGGGGGGGCAGAGATGAGTGGGATGTGTGTGTGAACTTGTGCTTGAGTGTTTGAGTTTGAGTGTGTGTGTGAGGAGAGGGAGAGAGGGAGAGAGAGAGAGAGGACACCTCATGTGAGTCAGTTACTTTCCTCTATGTGGGTTGGGACTTAGGCTTGGTGGCAAGTGTGTCTATCTACTGAGCTATCTGGCTGCCCCTCTGTTTAGTAGGAACCTCACTGCCATTCCACGTTTGCTCAGACATGAGGTGGTCTTGAATTCCCAGGGGTCCTGTCCTAGTCACTCCCTTTCTCATGAGATAGCCCTGGCTGCCCTGGAATTTGCTACGTGGACCGAGCTAGCCTCAAACCCGCAGAGCTGTGTACTTCCTTCAGTCTTTCAAATGTCAGGGTCCCAGTCGGGTGCCACCACACCCAACCTGGCTCTTCTTGGAAGCCAGTCACTGATGCCATGCCGGAGACCCCATGACCTCACCTAACCCCAGCAGTGCAGAGGCCCTCTCAGATCATAGTTACACAGGACTGTGGGTGCTGTGGAACCATCATTGCAAGGACACCAGAGAGAAAGTGGGGGAACCCCATCAGAGACAGCCTCCAGCTAACTGGGTCATGCCTTATCAGGACACCAGCTGCTGTTATCACATAGAAGGTGGGGTTTGCATGTGACTCAGGCAGAGCACCCAACTAGCATTTGTGATGCCTCGAGTTCCGGGCTGGAGGATCTCACACATGAATGAAATATTTAAAATATAATATGGCTCAGATGGCTGTGGCCTACTTAGGACTCCTCTTTGTAAGTTTTCTGCAAATCTAAAATTCTAGATGGGCATGGTGGGGTAGAGACAATGGTAGGGTTGAGGCTGGAGGATTCCCATGAAAGCCAGCCTGGGCTAAAAAGAGAAAATCAGACTTAAAAGCAAATGAACAACAACAACAACAGAAAAAAAAACCTAAAAGATTCCTTCAGTTCATAGTTCTTTCTCCTGGCCATACCTAGCCTTGAACACACACACACACACACACACACACACACACACACACACACACACACACACCTCTGCCTGCCATCTCCAGAGTTCGCACCTGGTGTGGAGTCTTGGTTTCGCCATTTGAGAACTGGATAGAATCGTGTGCTAAGACTTACTTATGTTTGGTTATGTGCGGTGTGTGTGTGTGTGTGTGTGTGTGTGTGTGTGTGTGTGTGTGTGTGAATGCAAGGCACGAGCCTGCCCGTGGTAGCCAGGCGGCGGGCAACTTTCAGGAATCAGCTCTCTCCTGCCACCTCCTGGAATCCAGAGATCTAGCTCAAGCAGTCGGGCTTGGCAGCAAAGAGCTTTTATCCACTAAACCATCGTGCCAGCCCTAGTTATTATTTTTTGAGACAAGGTCTCATGTAGCCTTGAAGTTGCTATGTAGCCAACAATAGTCTCCCCAGTGCTGAATCTCAGACATTCACACCCTACCCAGTGTATGGGGTGCTGGGCATGGAAGCCAGGACCTTCTGAACGACAGCGGAGGTATCCGTCCACTCAACTCCACCTTCCTAGATTTGATTCATTTTATTTTATTATTTTTAAATTATGTATTTATTAAATATTTCAATTATGTACGTATTATTTATTTTTGGATTTTTGAGACAGGGTTTCTCTGTGTATCCCTGGAACTTTCTCTGTAGAGAGAGTATGACTTCAAAATCACAGAGATCGTCTGTCTCTGCCTCCTGAGTGCTGAGATTAAAGGTGTGTGCCGCCACCACCCGATCTTATTACTATTATACTATGATTATGATTATTATATTTTTATGTGTGTGGATGTTTTGTCTGCTTGCATGTCTGAAGAGGTCAGAAAACTCATCAGAGAACTGGAGTTCCAGATGGTTACTAGCCACTGTGTGGATGCTGGGAATAGACTCCCTGATCCTTTCAAAAGAGGAACCAATGTTCTTAAAGGCTTGCTGAGCCATTTAAAAAATGTTATTATATATATTATTGTTATTATTATTATCATCATCATTATCACCATTGGCTTTTTGAGAGTAAGACCTTGACCTCGAACCCATCTTCCTGCTTCTCTGGAGTGCTGGAATGAATGACAGGTGTGTAACGCCTCACCATGATATTTCAGTAATGGCTTTAGCCCACCAATTTAAAGAATATTAGATCGATCACCAACTTCTAAAAATAACTTAAAAATTATACGGTCGGATTGGAAAAATTCAGCGTTGTTGGTCAAAACGAAGCAAACAGTCAAAAAGAACAGTCAAAAAGATGCATTTAAAGAGGCAAAAAGGCTTTGCCGAAACCCGGGATCGAACCAGGGACCTTTAGATCTTCAGTCTAACGCTCTCCCAACTGAGCTATTTCGGCTGCCTAGAAGCGCGGCGCTCCCGCCCCGACTCCGCCCCGTACAGAGCTAGAGTGCGCAAGCGCACTTCACAGCCCGCGCGCGCAGCCTCCTAGGCATGTACTGAAGCTGCACAGCTACTGCCGTCTCTGTGGCGCAATCGGTTAGCGCGTTCGGCTGTTAACCGAAAGGTTGGTGGTTCGAGCCCACCCAGGGACGCTCGTATATTCACTTTTTCGTAAGTCTATCGAGCCGAGGATCTTTTGTTGCTTTGTCCTTTTCATCCCTAGAGGCTGGGAGCGCGCACTGCGCTGGCGCGACCGCTCGCAGAGCGCTTCGGAACGACTCTGCTTCCGTGCTCCGGTTTCCGATGGTGTCTACTTGGGCGAAGGACCAGAGCCGGAACGCTTTGGAGGGCGGATCGACAGAGGTTGTCTGAAGGCCGAGGCCAAGATGGCGGTGCTGGCGGGTGAGCGGACGTGAGCTCGGGGTGGCGGGGCAGCTCTGGGATGCCAGCCGGGGCTGCGGGCACCTCAGGGGCCGCAGTGCGAGACGCTGGAGGCCCAGAAACGTATAGGTCAGGTCCCAGCCCTCGGTAACCTCGGGGTCTGGGGTCGGTCGGGCCCGAGTGCGTTTGGATCCAGTTCGCAAAGTTCTGTCAGCGATGATCCGCCGCGTGTCGTCGCGGACCCTGAGGCCCGCGTGTCTCCCGGCGTCGGGAGACTGATGGCAGGAGCCCGGCCGCGAGCGGCACAGGTTGGGGCCCAGGACAGCCTGGGCCTCTAGCCCTGCAAAGGGCTCGGTTTCCACGTCGAAGCCTTGGCCTGGTCCTCGTTATATTCTAGGGTTAAACGCTAAAACAATCTGGCATATGAGCGACCGTTGACAGGAGCCTCATCAGAGGTCGCATCTCCTCCATGGTGGCACTGTTCACACTAGGAACGGGAGATTAGCCTCAATCTCACTATGTGTACTGAGGGTGAATTTGAAGTCCCCGCCTCTCGAGGGGATGACAGGTGTGCACCATACTGCACTAGGGAGGGACGGACTCTGCCATCGGAACCCCACCGCCTTTGTTTGTATAGGAGAGGCTGACCTTGAACTCCTGATCCTCCAGCCTCCACTACCCCCAAGTGCTAGGGTGACAGACTTGGGGCGGAGACATATAGAGACCAGAGCTGGCATTAAAGGTGGCACACCTCGGTCTGGCTCCAACCCCCCCCCATTATGTATACTGTGTTCTGCCTCCATGTATGGCTGCAGGGTGGTTGCTGGGAATTGAACTCAGGACCATTCTGGCAGTCTGGTTTTGTTTTTCTTTAAGATGGGGTCTTCCTGTGTGGCCTAGGGTTATATCAAACTCTTGATGCCCCTGCCTCAGTCTCCCACGTTGGAAGGCCCAGCTGTGGTGTGGACACTATAAGGGATGCAGAGCATGGGTTCGTGGTATTGACTGCTCCTCCCTGGATCCGCTCGACAGTGAACGCTTGATAAACCCTATTACCAACTGCTGGGTTTTGCTTCCCACGGTCAGACTTGAAGGAGAAGCAAATTGTTTTGTTTTGTTTCTCGAGACAGGGTCTCTCTGTATTGTTTTGGAGGCTGTCCCAGAACTCACTCTGTAGCCCAGACTGGTCTCGAACTCACAGAGATCCGCCTGCCTCTGCCTCCCGAGTGCTGGGATTAAAGGCGTGCGCCACCAACGCCCGGAGAGAAGCAAATTTTCATTAACACTTTAGGGGCAGCAAAGAGGATGTTTTTGGTAGAACATTGTGATGCCAGCCCTGGGAAGGCTGAGGCAGGGAGCTTATGAACCCAGTCTGGGCTAGACCCTGAGACCCTGCTTCAAAAGGACGCTTGGGATCCCTGTGAGTTCCAGGTCAGCCAAGAGTACATAGTGATACCCTTTGGAAGGAAGGAAGGAATAAAGAGAGAAAGCAGGAGCCGGGGGGTGGTGGCGCAGCCTTTAATCCCAGCACTCGGGAGGCAGAGGCAGGCGGATCTCTGTGAGTTCGAGGCTGGGCTGGACCGACAGCCTCCAAAACAATGCAGAGAAACCCTGTCTTGTAAAAAAAAAAAAAAAAAGGCAGGAAGAGGTGGAGGCCTGGGGGTGTGGCCCAGGATTGACGCACTTGCTGAGCATGTTAAAGGCTGCATGTTTGGTTCCCAGCATGACAGCACAAAAGTGTGATCCACACTGGGCTTGGTGGTGCCTGCATGCAGTCCTTGCTGCTCAGAAGGCTCTCTTGAGGTCAGAGTTCAGAGCTAGCCTGGGCAACATAGAGAGACCCTGTAGCAGTAAAATCAAAGCCCAACCACTTAGTAAGTTATTTACTTTGCTGTGAATTTATTCAAAGTTTATATTTTCCTTCCTTCCTTCCTTCCTTCCTTCCTTCCTTCTTTCTTTCTTTCTTTCTTTCTTTCTTTCTTTTTTCCTTTGATTTTTCGAGACAGAGTGTCTCTGTGTAACAGTTGACTGTCCTGGAATTCTCTCTGTAGACCAAACTGTCCTCAAACTCAGAGATCCACCTGCCTTTGTCTCCAGAGTACTGGGATTAAAGGGAGGTTATTCTTGTATTAATCTCTATATATCCCACCCCTGGTTGCTTTTTTGTTTTTTTGTCTGTCTTTAATGCTATTTGCATTTTTTCCAATGTGTATGCCAGGCTGTTCTAAGACTTGTAATCCCCCTGCTTCCCGAGTGCTGGGATTGAAGGTGTGAGTCACTAACGCTCCACTAGAATACCATTTGTATATCGTCACACCTGGTTCATATCTGCCCTCACGAAACATCCAGTCCTGCTACCTCAGGGCACATCTTAGTGATGTCATTGTGAGAGCCTCATGCAAACAGTCCCTTTCCGAGTTGCCGGGACTAGGGTGCTGACACGAGTCATCCATCCTGCCCACAAAGCTGCCCACGCCTCTCTCCCTGCTTCTCGATGCTCCTTCTACAAAGTGCCCTGGGTTATTCAGGAGCAGCTGACTGGGGTCCTGGTGTGGGTGCAGTGAGGCGTGAGGCGGAGTGGGGTGACTTGCAAGGAAAGGAGGCCTGGGTGTGGAGTTTGAACCAAGGGTGGGAGGGAGGCTGTGCTGGAGCCCTCCAGAGGACCAGGACCCAGCACTGAGCCACTGTGCTTCTCTCCCTAGCTCCTGGCCTGCTCTGTGTGCGGACCCTGGGCCTCCGGTGAGTGTGTGTCCTGTCTGTCACAAATCTAACTGACTGTCAGGGAGCAGCTGGAACTGTGGGGCTTGCAGCCAGTAGAGGCCCGCAGCAGCATCCAGGGAAGCGACTGCTCGGCAAAGCTTGCCCGGCAGATCCAGTGAGGCTGTCCCGCTGTCCTCCTCACGTGCTGTGTGGGGACTGTCTGGAGAACGGTGACAAAGGCCTGTCTCAGCCTCCACCCGGACCTCTGCAGGCTGGCTGCCTTGACAGGGCCGTGAAGGAGCCCAGCATGTTGAGCAGCTGGTGTTCCCAGAAGCACAGAGGCTCTGCTTACGTCTGGAAAGAGCCTGCGGCTGAGCGGGGGCCGTGGGTGGACAGGGAGCCACTTGCAGGTGGGACGGTAGGACAGCTGATTGGTGGCCTCTCACTTCTGTCTGTGTTTGCAGCTCCAGCATAGGCGCACTGGGCCAAGTGTGCAGAGTCCATCAGAGTGTGGCCGCCCAGGGCCCGAGCAGGTAACCCAGGCTTTGCGGACAGGTTCCAGTGCTGATCCTAGGGCCTGTACTCGGGTGCTGCCCCACCCCACCCTGCCCTGTGGCCTCCCAAATGTGGCCACTGTTCCTTTCTCTGTTGACCAGGAACCCTGTGTGTCCCTCCTTACTGGGAAACTGCTCTGGTGGTCTGGTGGGTCCCCAGAGAGGACACTGGGGTCACCTGGCTTACTCTCCTCCAAACCCATGTACTCTGTTCTTAGCACACAGTCTGCCGTGCCCAAGGCTGGAGCTGGAGCTGTGGTACCCAAGCCCTCCCATCTTCCCAGAAACCGGGCCGAGTATGTGGTTGCCAAGCTGGATGACCTCATCAACTGGGCACGCCGGGTAAGTCTCCCTCCGGTCAGACCTGCTCCTTCCTAAGGGCCCAGCTCTCCCTCCAGCCACCACTCAGAATGACCAGGCCCTTTAATAGCTCTCGTGAGTGGGTGAGTGTGTGTGTGTGTGTGTGTGTGTATGTGCATGAGTGTGTATGTGAGTGTGTCTTTGTTTTGTTTGTTTTAAGACAGGGGTTTCTCTGTGTAGCCCTGGCTGTCCTGGAACTCGCTTTATAGAGCAGGTTGGCCTTGAACTCACAGATATCTGCCTGCCTCTGCCTCCCGAGTGAGGGGACTAAAGGGGTGTGCCACCAACTTCCAGCTGAGGCCAGCTGATCTCATTACACATGGCGTGAGCCACCATGTGGTTGCTGGGAATTGAACTCAGGACCTGTGGAAGAGCAGTCAGTGCTCTTAACCTCTGAGCCATCTCTCTGGCCCAAGACAGGGTCTTTACATAGCCCTGGTTGTCCTAGAACTTACTGTGTAGATCAGGCTGGAGTCAAACAGAGATCTACCTGTCTCTGCCTCCTGAGTGCTGGGATAGAAGCAGCCACTATGCCTTGCTTAAAATAAAAAAATTAAAAAATAAGTGCTTTTGAAGGCCAGAGGGTGGTGGTACACACCTTTAATCTCAGCTTTCAGGAGGCAGAGGAGGCGATCTCTTTGAGTTTGAGGCCAGCATGGTTGACAAAGCTACACAGAGGAAACCCTGTCTCAAAAAACAAAACAAAACAATGCCTTTTAAGCTCACCTCTGGGGCCAAGTCTGGAGAGCCATAGGCCTTCAGCAAAGCTTATATACAGCCTCCCTCTCTATATCTGTCCCCAGTGGTCCCTTCGCCATGTGTCCCCCTTGTGTGTGCATTCTGGTGTATGGATGTGACAGCCTGTCTGACAGTTGCCCAGTGAGTGACGTGTCTCTGTGCTGCCTCGCTCTCCTGTGCTGTGCTTAGGGCTCTGGTTGCCCTGCCAGATCTTGAAGTGGCCAGGACGAGGTGCCCACCATAGGGGACCAAGGGTAGCCCAGGAGGAGGCAGCAGTCTGTTGAAGTCAGCTCAGATGCTAACCACACCCTCACGCCCGCCAGGCCCGCTGCTCTCAGGTGCAAGCGCAGGGCGAGCTAGATCCGTGATGCGTGTGAGCGCTGGCGCACAGAGGATGCCAAGGACAGCCAGTCCCCCGCAGTTGGTTCCTGAGGGACGGTTGGGCCAGTCTAGGGATGCCAAGAGGGGACGTCCCTGGTAGCCAGAGCAACAGCTAGCCCTGTGGCAGCCTCATGTGACTGCCAGGTACTCAGTGTCACTGTGCCCACAAGGTTGCGCTGGGAACCTTCAGATGGCCCTGCTCCGCAGCACACTCACTTGTGGGGGGACAGTGCCTGGACACACAGCTGACTGTCGTGCCCTCACAGAGCTCCCTGTGGCCCATGACCTTTGGCCTGGCGTGCTGTGCTGTGGAGATGATGCACATGGCGGCTCCGCGCTACGACATGGACCGCTTTGGTGTGGTGTTCCGCGCCAGCCCACGTCAGGCTGACGTGATGATTGTAGCTGGCACACTTACCAACAAGATGGCCCCTGCGCTCCGCAAGGTACACATGGTCCCCTCGGTTCCTTCTGTTGCCCAGCCCCCGCATCACCTGACCTGAGTGTCTTGTAGGTGTATGACCAGATGCCTGAACCTCGTTATGTGGTTTCCATGGGGAGGTGAGTGTGTACTAGGCTGCCTGGGGGATTATGGTGACCCCAGTGCCCCCCCCCGCTGTGACAAACCTCCCAGGTTGTCCCCTCTTCAGCGACTGTGACTCACGCAGTGTGTAATACACACAGGCAGGAGCCCAGGCCCTGGCCCCCAGGAAGCGCTCCATCCCAGCCCCTGCGCAGTTTTCTTTGCTGCAGTGGAGGCTGTGGAGGATCCCCCTTGGAATCCCAGTTGTCTGCCGCAGTAGAAAAGTAACAGGGTGTGGTGGCCAGCAATCTGGAGGCAGAGGCAGCCAGTGCTCTGTGAGTTCAAGCCAGCTTGAACTACATAGTGAGATCCTGCTGCAGAAGATAAAAAGTAAAAGGGGACCAAGGTTGGGTTAGAGGTTCACCCAACATGTAGGAACGTGGGTTTCATCCCCAGTGCCCAGTAACCCTGGTACGGTGGCACACGCCTGCTATCCGCAAGGCCATCTGCTGTGTAGTGAATTCCGGACTTCTGTGAGGCCATCTGAGATGCCATAGCCCCACCCCAGGTCCATTGGCAGAAGTGCTTTTCCATGTGTGTATCAGTAGCTACTGCATCCCAGATGTCCCACGGAAGGTTCTGGGAGCCCGTTTTATTCCACCCACTTCTTATCTGCCATGTAGGGTCTGGCCCTTGCATTTTCTCCTGTCCCAGGGCCAGGGTGAGGGGTGAGGGGGAGAGTGGGTGGGTGTGCATCTGATCTGCCTCCCCCTCCCCAGCTGTGCCAACGGCGGTGGCTACTATCACTACTCCTACTCAGTAGTTCGAGGCTGTGACCGCATTGTGCCAGTGGACATCTATGTGCCAGGTGAGGCCGCCACCCTGCCCCACAACACCAGCCTGGGTAGGCGACCTCTAGGTCCCGTGTCCTAGAGGGCAGAGAAACAGATGTGACATATGTTGTCCTTTGTTCTGACCTCCTTGGGAGTGCTGGGCATGTTGGCTTCCCTCTGCTGCCCTGGAGAGGCCTTGACTTGGCTGAGCTGCAGGTCCAGTCTGTCTTACTCTGTGGTCCCTCGCCACTGCCTCCAGCTGGACCCTCAGCAGACTGCTGGACAGCAGGGGCCATCCACACTGGGCAGGGGTGGAGCATGGGGGTTTCTCTGGCTGCATGCCTAAGGCCTCTGGCATTCTGAGGCCTGGAATCTCAAGCTGCCTCCCTGCCTTTGGTGCAAGCTTCCTGCCCATCTCCCTGACCCAAGTGGTCCAGTTTCTGTGAGGGGCTATTCCTGAGGACCTCGCTGTCACCAGAGTCACAGTGTGGGTTCCTTTCTTTGTGGGACCACAAGCAGCTCAGGAATGGAGTGGGTGTCTGGAGGCCCAGCACAGCACTTGTGCCTTCAGAGCCAACCCCAGTGTACCCTGAGAGTGCACCATGTGGGCTGCTGGGGTCTCAGCTGTCTGTGTCCCTCAGGCTGCCCGCCCACGGCCGAGGCGCTTCTCTATGGCATCTTGCAGCTGCAACGGAAGATCAAGCGTGAGCAGAAGCTGAAGATCTGGTACCGCAGGTAGAGCCTCCAGGCCGAGCACCACAGCCCCAGAGTCCCAGTGTGAATAACCCTTCCCTGACCCAGTGCGCTGTGTGGACTCCAGCAGAGTCCCAGTGTGAATAAACCTTCCCTGACCCAGTGCGCTGTGTGGACTGTGGCCCAGCAGAGTCCTAGTGTGAATAAACCTTCCCTGACCCAGTGCGCTGTGTGGACTGTGGCCCAGCAGGCAGTCGGTACATGGGGCATGTCCTGCATGCTCTGTGAAGAATCCTGGCCCTGAGGTCCTGGCTGAGGGGAACGGGAGGCTGGTGGCTTCACAGTCTCAATGGCTTGTGTGCTCAAACTGTGACCTCTGCCGGCTGTGCAGCTCCGGTCGGTCGGTCACCACCCATTTCTGGTCGAGTGAGGACAGTGTGTTTCCTCTTAAATAGAAGACACGTCCCTGGCCAGCTGCCCTGTAGGAGCCGTCTGCCCCTGGGAGGAGGAGACCCAGCTTGTCACCCTCTGTAGCTCTCAGCGTGGCCACTATGGCAGGAGCGGGTCTGGGATCTGTCATCTCCAGCTGATGGACTGGACAGGCTGACCATGGTGACCCAAGGCCTGGGAGGGGAAGGTGCCAGCCTAGCCTAAGGGGAATTGTTTCTCTGTGTAGTCTTGGCTGTCTTAGAGTGTTGCTCTGTAGATCAGGCTGGTCTAGAACCCATAGAGATCCACCTGCCTCTGCCTCCCAAGAGCTGGGATTAAAGGTGTGCTCTACATCATGAGGGAACAGCCTGCTCGCTGCCCTAAATGCTGAACCTGGCTTTAGTGCTGGGGAAGTGGTGTGGGAAGGGGTCCCCCAGCAGAGTGGTTTCTAGCAGCTGGGTATAGGGCACAGGCTGAGGTAGACACTCCCAGGGCCAGGCAAGGGTGGGCTACAGTGTGGGCCAGCCAGTGCATCTGATACCAGAGATCTCCAGAGTCAGCGGCACTGAGGGATGCGTGGCTGGGTGTGTGCCGGGCTGGGTCCCCTGTTGCAAACAGGTGATGGTTGACTGGTCTTGTCTGGGCAGGGCAGGGGCACCAGGGACCAGGGATGGACTAGCTGCATCGCTGAAGCAGGCAGCTTCTGAACCAATGTTTCCCTCCAGCTCACTGCCACCAGTGTTGTTGTTGGTATTTATTTTCCCCCTGAGCTCGGGAAGACAGCGGGGCCAGGCAGTGTCACTGCAGTACCCCTGAGAGGCTGGAGCCTACACTCCAGCCATGAAGGCACTGAAGAGGAGAGGTTCGTTCCAGCCCTGGGCCAGTCGCTCAGTGCTTGGTGACCAGGGGAGTGATCATCTGAGGGAAGGCGTAGTAACGGCAGTCTGCAGGCGGTACCAGCGCCATCACCTCGGTGCGAATGTTCTCTCTCCGGAAGCCTGCCTCTTGCAGTGCAGGCACCTGTGTCTCCTGGAGGGAGGGGCACAAGTCACCTCAGACCACGCGGGAGAGGACCCAGGTCTTGGTGTGAGGTAACCTTGGAGGCTAGAGCATGTTTGTACAGACCCACTGCCAGCCTCCAGCGAGAGAAGACTCATGGTCCTGCGGCCCCGGCACACCGGGCAGGAGGGCATCAGCCTCTAAGATAAGCATGGCTGTACCGAGGTTCTGGGGAGCCATGGGAGGCTTAAACCAGTAAGGGTGTTGCTGATTCCAAAATGGAAAATCACAGTCCCAGCTGAGGCCAGTGAGCAGAGTGGGGGTCGCTGACAGGTAGTCGTACCTCAAACATGGTGGCGATGTCTGTGAACTTGGACTTGAGGAGCTCCCCCCAGGATGTGAGGTTGCAGTAGGTGAGGATTCCCCCAGGCTTCAGCAAGCGGAAAGCGTGCTTCTGCGGAGAGGCCAGGGGGCAGGAGTGGGCGGAGGGAACATGGGTGCCAGTCTTCACATGCCCGCCCACCCGCCCACCCTGGCCCTGCGGTCCCACCTTAATGAAGTTGAACTGGTGAGTGTGCCAGGTCTCCTCAGACAGTGGGTATGTGTCATACAGGATCCCTGCAGAGGACACATGCCCGCCAGGGAGGGCAGAGACTGTCTTGCCCCACCTCCTCTGACCCAGCCCTCAGCTGCCCTCAGCGGCCTGTCTGTGTTCATGTGTCTATTCCCAAGGGCTCTCCCTGGTGCACACTGGAGGTGTAGGGGACGGGGGGGGGGGGACACACATGCATGTGGCAGAACAACGTGTAGGAGTCCATTCTCTCCTTACACCATGTGCAACCGGGGCTCGAGCTCAGAGCTCACTCTTGATAGCAAGCCCACCAAGCTGGAGGGCGACACAGGCTGCCACCGGCCCGGAGCCCAGGTAGTCCCTTTGCTGGGCTGAGCCCCCTCACCATCAAAATGGCCATCAGGCAGAGTAGGCGCCACCTCCTCCCACAGGCCTTTCAAGGGAACAACCTTGGAAGGGAAAGGGACGAGAGATAAGGTTGGGGGTCACGGTGGCCCCCGGATCTCCTGGGTCTGGGTGTGACTCCCAGGTTGCGCCCCAGCAGTACCTTGTGTGGCTGTCTCAGGGCCCAATCTTGTAGGCGCTGGAAGACCCCATCATTGCATTCAATAATCCAGTGCTCTTCTATGGGGGCCTGCTGCACCCTGGAGGCCGCAATGGCCATGCCGAAGCCCACTTCCAAGACACGACCCCCTAGGATACAAAACACATGACAGCTGCCTTGGCTGGGGGAGGGGATGTGGGGGTGGGACCGGGCTGCCAGTCACAGGCCTCAAGGACAAAGGGGCCAGCAGGGCCATTTGGGTGGACAGAACAAAGTAACAGAATAGCGTGGGCTCTGGACAGCTGCCAGGTTGGCCTGGGAGGCTATGGACAGGCCAACGATCTTGGGCCTGGCCCCAGGGATCCCTGGACTCTGAGCTCCTGTCCACGCTATTTGTGCTATGGCCCTTCTCTGTGGGGTTAGCAAGGACCAAGGCCGGCTTGGAGGCCCGACACTGGCAGCCCCCCCCAGTTCATTTATCGCCGGACACTAGGTCCCCATCTGCCCGAGGTGAACTGGAGGCCCACCGTCCATCTGCCCTGTTTGAGGCTGGGGAGCCCCAAACACCCATCGTCCTCTCTCACCCGGCAGTTCCCAGACACAGCACCAAGACAGCTGCTTCTCTGCTCGGTTTTCCCAAGCTATTCTTAGCCACAGCCCGGGGAGACTCCGGGCCAGCCCCAGCCCCAAGACCACTCTGTCCCCCACTTCTCCCAGTACTGTGGTCGGAAGACCCATCCTCCAGTCCAGCCCTGGGAGAAGGAAGCCTTTTCCCTCCGGAGAGGAAGCCCCAGTTCAGAGCAGGCCTCTTACGCGTGTCCACGTTTTGGCAACATCCTCCCTTCCCCGCCAACGTGGCCCCAGGGCAGCCCCATGCCCCAGGCAAGGAAACTGAGGCACGCAGCACGCATAGGAACTCCTGCACGTCTGAGCTGCAACCTCAGTTTCCTCGGGCAGGGTACCTCTGGAGGCGGCGGCCGCGGCCAGCGCATGCATATAGGGAGTCTCCCAACGCTCCATCACCGGCTTGCCCAGGATCTGCAGGTGCGTGTCAGACGCATCATAGGCCGCGGGAGCCGCGCGCCACGCGGGGCCGCAGTCCTCGCCGGGAGCGAAGAGCGGGCTGGCGGCGGAAGAGCTCATGGTGAGTCTCTGCACACCAGGCGGGGAGGACAAGGGCAGCGGAGCGCCGGAGTTGCAGGCGGAGGGGTGGGGCGCCGCCTGTGCATTCAGGGGCGGGGGCGGGGCGGAGCGGGGCGGGGCCTGAGGGCCTTGAGGGAGTCTCGCCCAATGATGGACCGAGTGGGCGGAGCATGCTCGCGGGGCGAGGTCTCCTGGCTGGGGCGAAGCCTGTGTTTGGGGAAGGAGTCCGGCCTGGGGCTGGGGTGGGCGGAGCCACCAGAAGGAGGTGGGGCCTTGTTCTGGGAGGATGTCCCTTCTCGTGCTGGGCTGGGCCTGGGTGGACCGAGCCTGACGGCGAGGGCGAGCGAGCAGGCTCTGCTAAGGGTGGAGGCTGCGGCCTGGACCCTAAAGTAAAGTTGTTAGGGCGGAGCTGTGGGCTGGGGAGGAGTTCAGTCCTTTGCTTTGGATGGGGCCTGTGGGGTGGGATGCAGGCAGGAGCCACACAGGATGGAGCCTGTGCTAGGGCAGTCCGGCCTTCAGCTAGGGGCGGGACCAGAGCGATGGGGTGGGGTCACCCTTCTGCTAAGTATGAGGGACAGAGCTAAGGAGCTGGACCAGCGGGCTGAGGCGTGGTGTCCAGCCTTTTGCTACGGATGGGGACAGTGCCATGGGGTAGGTGTTTATGGGATAGGATGAAGTCCAGCCTTCTGCTAGTGGTCTAGCCTATTCCCACGGGTGAGGTGGGGCCTAGCCTGCTTGAGGCAAGGTAGGAGTGCGTTCGGGCCTCTTTCGGCTAGGGGTGGGGTTGGAAGCAAGGAAACGGTTGTGGGTGGGGGGCGCTGGGTTAGTTGTCAGGAGGTTGAGTGGAGTTCAGCCTTCTACTAAGACCAGAGCATAGAGATGGGGCGGGGCCTACGGGCCTGGGCGGGGCCTAATTGTCTAGCCATAAAGTTGGAGCCATGCAGGTCGGGGCCTGCTTGCTGGGTGCAGGCCAGTGCCATAGAGGGCAGGATATGCTGGCAGGTGCACCGCCAGAGCTTCTGCAGGAGCAGGGCAGGACCCGTGGGCGCCTGGCATTTGAGCGGGGCCTGACTTTCTGCATTTGCGGGACTGGCTCACAAGAGTGCTCTGTTTACTGGCCAGAGACCTGTCTGGAGAAACAGCTGAGCTTGCTTATCCCAACATGTCCTCCTAGCTGCTCCTGCAAGTTTATTTTTTATTTGTAATTATTTGTTTATTTAGAGATAGGAGCTCATGATATTGCCCCAGGTGGTCTGGCACTCTCTCTAAAGACCAGATTGGCCTCGAAATCACAAAGATCTGCCTGACTCTACCTGGAAGTGATGGGATTAGAGGCGTGTGCCGCCGGGCGCTGGTGGCGCATGCCTTTAGTCCCAGCACACCGGAGGCAGAGGCCAGCCTGGTCTACAGAGTGAGTTCCAGGACAGCCTCCAAAGCAATACAGAGAAACCCAGTCTCGAAAAACCAGGAAAAAGAAAAAAAGAGGTGTGTGCCACCACCATGCCTGGCTTGATCCCTTAAGTCTAGATGCACATTGGCTTGGTGTGGTGCAAGAAGCCAGCCCTCTCCTATTTGCTCTAACCCACATTTGCCCCTTCCTTACCAGCCCGTTACCCCAAAGTCACTTGAGTTCGTTGGGTGTGGCTCAACCTGGTGATTTTTCTGAGCAATGCTAGAAGAATGTCTGGAATAGTAAAACTATTAACCTTCAGAATATGCTGCAACGGCAACTGTCCATACACACATTTTACAGATAGAGAAAACTGCTAAAAAACAAAAACAAAAACAAAAAACAAAAAAACAGGAAAGTGGAGATCACAACTCCAGACAGGGAGATCGCAAACCCTGACAGTTTCCACTTGGTGCAGTGCCCAGAGAGGCCTGAAGAGGGCATCGGACCCCCCCTGGAGCTCAGTTTCTGACAGTTGTGAGCCCCCCATGGGTGCTCTGGCCCTCTGTAAGAGCAGCGGGTGCTGAGCCATCTCACTAGCCCCTGCCTTTTTTTTTTTTTAAACCGATTCTCAAGTGGCTCAGGGTGGCCTTGAACTCCCACATAGCTAAGGGTGGCCTTGAACTCCAGACCCTGCTTCTCTACCCCAGTGTGTCTGCAGTGCTTGCTCAAAGTGGGTCCTGGGCTTTGTGCCTGCCAGGAAAGTGGTCTCCCCACTGAATTCCCACCCCAGCCTCCATGTTCCACCAATCTCGAGTGGTCCTTCTATGATCTCGTGCGGTCTTATTAAAAATAAACTAGGTAGCGGGCTGGAGAGACGGCTCAGAGGTTAAGAGCACTGACTGCTCTTTCAGGGGTCCTGAGTTCAATTCCCAGCAACCACGTGATGGCTCACAGCCATCTACAATTCAATCTGGTGCCCTCTTCTGGCACGTAGGTAGAACACTGTATATGTAATAAATAAATCTTAAAAAAAAATAAACTAGGTAGCTTTGTAATGCTAGCACTCCAGCGTCATAGGCAGGGGGATATCTGTGAGTTCCAGGCTAAGCAGAGCTACACAGGGAGATTCTGCTCCAAGCAAAAGCCTTGGGCTGGAGCCAGGTGGGGTTGGTGTGCCCCCTTTAATGTGAGGCAGAGGCAGGCAGATCTCTGAGTTTGAGGCCAGCCTGGTCTACAGAGTGAGTTCTAGTACAGCCAGGGCTACACTGAGAAACCCTGTCTCAGAAACCAAAAAAACAAACAAAAACCAACAACAAAACTTTGGCCTGAGTAGAAAGCAGTTTTTGCCTGGTTCTGTTTTTTTATGGTTTGAACTGCTGCACCCAGCACTGGAAATGAATTGTTCTGTTTTTTGTTTTTTTTTTTTTAATGGTTTGAACTGCTGCACCCAGCACTGGAAATGAATTGTTTGCTTGTTTTGTTTTGTTTATTGACACAGGACCTCACTATGCAGACAAGGTCCCAGGTCATCCTCAGATCAGGGTGGCCTCAAACTCAGAGAGCTCCTCCTGCCTCCCTGTCCCGAGTGCTGGGGAAACCCATGGTTCTGGGGATCGGCCCCAGAGCTTTGTGCCTACCAGACAGCATCCTACGCACTGAGCACACCCGGCGTCTACTTCTAAAGGGCTTTGGCCTGGGCCGTCTGCCCACATCCTGTGTCCTCACATCCTGTGCTGCTGATTCGCCCGGTCCTCCCAGGGTGGCGGTGTTAACAGATGCCCTCCTTTGGACCTGAGTGGTGGCTCAGCACATAAGGGTGCTTGCCCTCAGGCTTGACACCCGAGTCGCATCTCTTCCATGTTGTCCTCTGATCTCTACGTGTGGTTCATGGCGTGCTTTGAAGAAAGAAATGCATGTTCATTTGTGAGGTGTGCGTGTGTTTTGTTTTTGAGATTGGGTCTACTGGCTGGCCTGGAACTCCTGATCTTGCATTAGCCTCCTGAGTATTAGGATGTCAAGTATTTACCCTATACCCAGATACCATTGTATTTGTTTGTTGGTTGGTTTATTTCAAACAGAGTTTGTCTGCATAGCCCTGGCTGTCCTAGAACTCAGAGATCCACCTGCCTCTGCCTCCAAAGTGCTGGGATTATTAAAGGTATGGTTACCACATCCTGCTAGCCTCAAATGTTTTAATGTTGGCCTGTGAACATTTGAGGGCAACTTCATGAACAGGGATGGCCGGTGTGGGGGCTGGATAACAGGATAATGTGTCCAGTGGCACTGTGAAGAGTCTATAAGGATGTATGGTAAGACATCTCGGCACTCAGAGACAGGGGCAAGCAGATCCTTGTGAGTTCCCAAGTAGCCAGAGCTACATGACTTAAAAAAAAAAAAAAAAACCGGGCCGGGCGTTGGTGGCACACGCCTTTAATCCCAGCACTCGGGAGGCAAAGGCAGGCGGATCTCTGTGAGTTCGAGGCCGGGCTGGTCTACAAAGTGAGTTCCAGGACAGCCTCCAAAGCTACAGAGAAAGCCTGTCTCGAAAAACCAAAAAAAAAAAAAAAGACCGGGTGTTGGTGGCGCACGCCTTTAATCCCAGCACTCGGGAGGCAGAGACAGGCAGATCTCTGAGTTTGGGCCAACCTGGTCTACAGAGTAAGTTCTAGGACAACCAGAGCTTTTACACAAGGAAACCCTATCTTGTGGAGGGAGGAGGCAATCTATGGATTATAAGAACAGTAACAGCCAACTACACCCCCCAAACTCATAGCCTCAGCCCAACTTTGCATGGCAGTTCTAGGATCTGCTCTCCTGCATTTTCAGGGCCCACAGTCAGCCTTGCCTGTAAAATTGTTGTTATTTTGTCATCCGAGAGAAGCCTCACACTGGAGTGTACAGTCCCTGAGAGAACTGCCACCTGGGGCCACTCTTACCTCATGCCTGGTGTGTCACCATCGTCTGGGGCCACAAGTAGCACTATGGGCCACGTGAGGCGTTCATTGTTTGCTTGGTTTTCGTCGATGTTGTTTGGGAATGTCCCATGTAGTTCAGGCTGCCCTCCAGCTCGCTATGTGGCTGAGGACGACCTTGAATTCCCAGTCTTCCTCTCCAACCTCCTGAGTGTCAGAAAGCCAGGCTCGCACTGCCATGTCTGGTTTATGTGGTGCTGGGGATGGGACCATGACCTTGCAAAACCTCGGCATCAAAGCGCCGGGCACTGAACCGAACCGTCTGCCCAAGAACCAGGGCCAGACCACTGGCTGCAAATGCAAGAGGTGATTTATTGAGTACACAGGCCCCTGCGGATGCTACTGCAACTCGGGTGCAGAGCATACCGGGCTTTCAGGGAGTACAATATTTATAGAGTTTCAATGGTTACATAAGTAACAGGCATTTCATTGGCTCATCTTGGGGGCAGGGGTAGTTCCCACGGACTAAGTTTCCTGGTATTACTTTATGAAAGACCCAGGCACGCTTCAGCAATTATTATCCGGGTCCCATGACTACTATGGTGATCATAGACACAACTGGGGGCAAGGGTAGTTGCCAAGGACTAGGTGTCCTGGTATTGTCATATTATCCGGGTCCCATGATTGCTATAGTGATCAGACACAATTGGGGGCCAGGGTAGTTGCCAAGGACTAGGTTTTCTAGTATTGTCATATGAAAGTTCCCAGCACGCTTCAGCAATTATTATCCAGGTCCCATGACTGCTATAGTGATCACAGACATCCTGTTTTGAGGGTGAGACACCTGGTCTGGGTTTCTTTCATTAGGCAACGGCCTGGCCTTGCTTTTCTTTTCCTAGGGGGGCCCTGGGTAGGGGTCTTTCAACCTTGGCCAGTCTGTACAGGTGCTCTACAAACTGAGCCATTGCCTCATTTTGCTTACTTATTTATTGTGTTATTGTTATTATTGTATTTTTGAGACAGGGTCTCACTTTGTATCCCTGGCTTCTTTTTCTTCTCATCATTATTTTATACCTATTTGAGGTGGGGTGTTATTATTATTATTATTGTTATTATTATTTTTGGTTTTTACAAGACAGGGTTTCTCTGTATTGTTTTGGAGGCTGTCGGTCCAGCCCTGCCTGGAACTCACAGAGATCCGACTGCCTCTGGCTCCCGAGTGCTGGGATTAAAGGTGTGCGCCACCACCGCCCGGCTATTGCATACCTTTATGATATAGGGTCTTGTAAGCATTGTGGCAGCTTGAATGGAAAGGTATTCTGGCACTCGGGAGCCAAGGAATACCACAGGTCACAATACACATAGCAGCTTACAGCCCTGTTCCAGGGAAAGGCTTCCCCAGTGTAATAGCTGTGCCCTGGCAGGCAGTGGCAGGGGGAGGGGCTCACCCCCCAAATAGTTACAGTTCGACTCTGGTCCCTTGGAGTGTAACAATTCCACTTTGCTAAGGGAAGGTTTCTCAGGCGAAAGTGTTACAGCCCTGTTCTGCTCTGTTCTGGTTCCAGTGAGAATTTGTTACTTCTCTCTGCCGATGGAAGGTCTCACCCAAACCTCACTGTAGAGATTTATTGGGAGGGAAGAATCCAGGAGAGTGACTGCCTTGGCCAGGACGGCCACAAGCTGCACAGACACAGGGTTTATATAGGGCTTCTTAGGGGGTGGAGTTTTTCCAGGGAGATTTCCAGGGTGGGGATTGGTCAGATTTCAATCCCAGAGCTCAGAATGGCTAGATATCCAGCTGAGGGAATGGTTGGTTTTCTGCACAGGGTTAGGGTCAGATTTGGCTCTGGTTTTAGGGCCAGGGTGCATTTCTTTCACTGACTCAGATTCCAGGGACAAAGTGTGTTCCTTTGGCACTGGTTTCAGGGTCAGGGTACATTTCTTTGGTTCTGGTTGCTGGGCCAAAGTGTGTTTTTCTGTGGCTCTGCTCAGGGTGTGTTTCTTTGGCTGGACACTTTTCCCTATTGCTTTGTAGCCCTAGCTGGACTGGAACCTGCTTTGAGAGAGAGGAGAGACAGATTATCCTAATGAGAAGACGGCCAGCAGACAATAGACAGCAGTAAAGAGTTTGTCTGTCCGTGTTAGTAGCATTAGGGGACAGTGATTTTTATTTTATCTTTTATAGCCAGTGAACTTGGTTAACTTCTACTTTGATCCCAATTGGGCCTTAACTTAATGACCTTGGACAGGTGCGTCAGCCTCTGTGACCCTCTGTATCATCTTCTGGGGAAAGGGAACACCGGAAAGTGACACATTTCTTGACGTGAACTGTGCAGCCTGTGTTCTGTACCGGGCCTGAGGGGCAGCCATGGACTTTATTCTTCACAGACCCCCACAGAATATCGAGATTCGCAAGTGGAAAAAAAAGAGAACCCTATTCCGCGCCTGCGCGCGCCATGCACGCCCCAGCGCGCCGGGCGACGCACGCACGCGCACGCACGCACGTGGCTGGCTTCTTCCCCGGGCCTTCTGAAGGCCCCAGAACGCGGAGGACTACATTTCCCAGAATGCTTAGACTCGGCAGGGCGGAAGCACGTTAGGCGCCCAGCCCTGATGCGCCGGCGCAAAGCCTTGCGTTTCCCCTATCAAGCGGGCACGCACGAGCAGCGCGCCCCTGGCTCCGCCCCCGGAGGCCCCGTGCGGGAGCGCGCCCGGGCGTGCGCAGGGCGGCGGCGCGGCGGCGCGGGGACGCGCGGCGACCGTTGGCGCGGAGGGAGGAGGCTCAGCGCCGCCGCCGTTGCGCAGATCCGGGCCGCGGCCGCGGGGAGGGACGAGCGGTGACCTTCCGGAGGTGCGGGGCGCAGCGGGCCGGGACAGGGCGCCATGAACAGCGCGGGCGCCGACGAGATCGGGTGAGGTCACGGGGCCGGGCCACGCTGGGGGCGAGGGAGGCCGGGGAGCCGGGCCCGCCGGGCCGGGACTTAGAGGAGAGCCGGGGTGTTGGGGGGGAGCCTCAAAGGCAGCCCAGGGGTAACTAAGGGGACCCCAGATGACAGCTCTCGATCAGAGGAACCCTAAATGATAGTTCACGGCTTAGGGGGACCCCATAGCATAACTCACCGGACTGAGAGACCCCAGAAGGATAATCAGGGTATTGAGGACCCCAAAGTGGCGTCCTGGAGTCAGGAAAGCACTATAGGATTATTAGGGTTGCCAAGAGACTCCCTCAGGAGATCTTAGGTGCCAGTGAGGCTCCAGGATAGACTAGGGTCCTTGGGAACCCAAAATATTAAATTGGTGAAGCTGAGGAACCTCCAAAGAATAGATTATAGATCAACGAGACCCCATAGGATAACTCTGGGGAGTGGGTATTCCTAAAAGAGAGCTCACAGATCATGGAGACCCCATAAGACAGATTAGGGGTGCTGAGAGTCTCCAGAGGGTAGATAAGAGGTCAGAGACTACCCCTCCGTAAATTAGGTTATGAGTGCTGAGGGTCCCAAAGTACAGATGACAAGTCAGGGTACCCCATGGGATACACAGGGATACACTAGGGTGCTACACAGGAGGAGGAGGACCACAGAATAGGTCAGGATGCTGCACTTCTGACGTGGAGCTCGGGGGCCAAGCAGTCTCCAGTGATACTTCTGGAGGTTGTGGGAGCCTCCACATGAGAATTCAGGGATCAGGGAGGCCATCAAAGGATACTTCATGGCATTGAGGGTAGTGCAGGTGTTGGAGGGACCTAAGTGGGGTGTGGGTGTCAGATAAAATTCAATAAAGAGTAGCTGAGTGGTTAGGGAGACCTCAACAGATAACTTGGTGCTGAGGGACTCTACACAGAAGCTCAAGAGGGTCAAGTGGATGGGTGGCAGGAGGTCCTGCAGGATAGTTTAGGGGACTGAGGGACCATCGCTAAGTGTAGATTAGGGTGTAGGAGACCCCATAAGTTGAGCCATGGAGTCAGAGATACCAAAGAATAGATCAAGGTCCTGAGGGAGCACCATA